CAGCACAACCTTTCCAACCTCGACGACGCAATAAAAAACGGGATTATTCAAGGGATAATTATAGTGATTCCCTGAGCCTTCGTGGTTTACTTTTCTCTTTCTCCCCATCCATTCGCACTACAATATAATCCTCGGATATACTATTCCAGGGTATATACCACTTCGATTCTCCTCCCCAAACCACCCGGACACTATGCCTGGGCCAAAATGAGAGATTTGCGAAGAGATTTACGCGCACAACACCAAAATGAACTTTTGTGTGTAAATTTATGTGCAGCTCAAGCGGGGCAAGGGGAAGGGGAAGGGGAAGGGGAAGGGGAAGGGGAAGGGGGATAAGGGAGCTAAGTAACTAACGCCATTAGTTGCTTAGTTTTTCACATCCCAACTCCCCCTTCAGTTGGAGCTATGTATCTTGGCATTTTTATTGCTGCATTCCGGGTAACAAACATCAAAACATCGCAGAAATCATCGCTTAAGCCGGAAGGGAGGGTGCCACGCCATTGACTCCCAACTTTGAAGGCTACAGAGGCCCAGGCAGGTGAGGGGACAGACACGGACTGAGATTGGGATTGGGATTGAAATTGACGGAGAGAGATTAAGTGCGGAATGTGCCTGTAAATAGAAATGAAATGCTGCACTTTAATCTGTGCCGGAATGAGGAGTAGCCTCACAGGCAGGAGTCCACCGATACAGCCACTGAATTTAACCATTCCCTTTCACCCATTTGGCCAGTCAGTCAACCCATCAATCCCATTTTCTCACCTCCCCATTTTCCCAAGCCCCGAAAAGTAGGCAGCGAAATTGTGATTACATTTGCCACATGAATATTCAATGGAGTCGTGTGGCATAATGGCGGCACTGTGTGTGTGTGTGTGTGTGTAAATTGTGAAAATAAAAGTGCAAATTGTTGTTAGGCAGCTGCGACTGAGAAAAAAAAAAATAACACACACAAACCCAAGTCAATGGGGCAAGACCTTAAAATGGTTTTTACGGCTACCAAAAAACATCAAGTTTATGCCGCGGCATCAAATGCACCTGATGACTGAGTAATTGGATAAAAATATAAAGATCCCAGAGCCGTGTATTGGTTCCTCAATTTATCCTTGACCTCCACTCGCATTTATTAATTAAAGCCAGCCTAAATAACATTTAGTGGGTAACGCCCCCCTGACATGCTCCTCCTCCTGCTCCTCCCCAGTGTGTATGCTTAGTATACAATATACACTGGTATTTACCAGGTCAAGTCCGGGGGACAGACTACACACACATTGTGTAGGGAAAGGCAAATAAGCGGCCAATAAAAATATTATTAATACGCCAACGAGTACACAGAGAGAAAAAAAAAACAGAACCCCGCACCCAGTTCAAATTTATTATTATTATTTACTCTTTGATGCGATGATGCCACTTATCAAAATTGAAGGTTTTAACGCATTAACGATGCCCAATGTTTGCCCTTCCCATCTAGCGGATGATGTATAATTTATTTTTTCTCCATGTCCTCTCATCCTTATCGCACAATCGGTACTGATGGAAATGGAAATGGCCAGGGCAATGGGGAAAATGGGGGGAAATGCGGGAAATGAGGCGGAGCTGGCTTTGGGAAATTAGCTGCGACGCGTCGCTCATCACCAGCCAGCAGTTGGGTGTGTTTTTAGCCATAAATTTATTAACTTAGTGTCACATTTATGGCCACTCCGACAACCGACAACACCGCTAAAGGAGGACTTGCCGAAGGACGATGGAGGAGAGCCCCCCCCCCCCTATCTCTCTCTCTCCCTCTGTTAGATCCTTTAAAATCCACTTGAAAATCCGCTGACCGATGTCTAATTGATGAGCCCCAACCATGATGGAGCATTTTCTGAGTCAAAGCATAGAGCTGTTCTCGCAGTAGCTTTTTACACATTTTTTTAAATACCTTAAATTCTGTTTCTGTTTTACTTTAATTTAATATTCATTTAGTCGCATATCCCTTACAGCCCTGAGAGCTCTTAAATATTTATCAACACTATTAAGGATTTATTTATGTGTGCAAAAATGCACTGTAATCCGCTTAAATAAATCCCTTGGCTTTGTAGAAGTTTAAATGAAAGTAAATTACAATGTAAGGGCTTTAGTAATTAAAACAATAATCTTGTCGGATGCGATGATGATTTTTTACAAGTCCCCTTAAACAAATGTTGCCTTTGAATGGAAATTTAATAAAATAGTAATAATTACAATCACAATTCTGAATCTATGACAAGGGGCTGTTAAAACATTCTTTCAATTCGAGTTGTGATTTTTAATTAAAAAATTAAACGTAGAAATATCATAAATATTAAAATATTTGTTATGCGTCAAAAATCATTTTTAATTCGTAAGATCAGTAAGGATTTTAAAAACTTTTAAATAGTTTCAAAAAATATGGAATTAATTATTTCAGGTACTAAATTCATTGAAAATTTGATTTTTTTACACATGTTTGAAAATAAAACATATTTTTTAGTGTTATTTTAAATCAATTAATAATTCAAATCTTAAAAAAAAAACCTTCAATCAGTTTGAATTTAATTAAAACGCTGCTCAAAAGTAAACCTAACATACAAGTAGATATAATTTTACCTAAAAATAACTAATCCCAACGTATAGCAGCATTCTGCTTACTTTTTGACTGTTTTTTTTTCACTTCTTTTTAATTCTACGATGATTTCTCAGACATTTCTATAAAAATGTTTGCTCTCAAGGACCTCCAACTACCCCCCTAAGATGTATGGATGCATCATGACATCTCAACCCCTCGGATTAGGTGAGCAATTCCCGAGGCCTAAGTCCGAGCATATTTAAAGTAATTCCCAAATCCAGGTCTGGCTCATTTGTCAAGTTGGCTTAGCCGCCGGGCTTAGACGAACTTGTGGGTGGAACACGAATATATAAACAGAGGTACACAGTCCGCCCATTGGATCATTAATTTGCCCACGTCTTTTCACCTGTTGTTTTACGTGTACACGTTTACCGTTCGATCGGAGCAGTCGTTACCGTTATCGTGGCGGCTAACCAAACAGATGAATTGGTTCCCACCATTTTGGACTGGCCATAAACGCGACACATAAGCACAGGGTTTAATCACAGACATTCACAAAGATCAGACTTACATTTACTACGTTGCAATTGTTTGGTAATTGTTAAAAATGACGCTATACTTCAGGCTTCCAAAAACATGGCGCACTCGAAAAAAAAGGAAAGAAAAAACAACTAATACCGAAGCAACGCGACGCGTTTTCGAACTCGAGTTTTACGCTTTGAGATCCGTTCGTTTGAATCTAACGGTACTGAGCACTGAGTCTATCCCTCTCACTTCCGCTTGCCACTGTCGCTCTGTCCCGCTCTGGCCAAGAAGGGCTAACAACAGCTATGCAGTCTCGCGACCAACTGAAGCCCGACGAGCTCGAGCAAAGGCATTTAAGCAGCAGGTCCCGTTGTGCTGGCCGCAGGACGCAGTAAGCCGGCAGCACCTTAGAACGCTTTGAAGAACAGCTGGCAGGTGGAAAGCTCAGTAAGCAGCTTTCTGGGGGGCGAAGCTCTTGGCGCTGTCACAGCAGCTGGCAATGCCGTCACAAAATCAAAATGGGAGAAAGTAAGTGTGAGAGAGAGAGAGAGAGAGCTTTGCTCTTGCCTCTGTTTACGAACGTGTGTGTGAAGCGGAGGCGGCGTTACTTTGACAATTCGCCATTGCCAGGGTTGGCAAAAAGTGACAGCTTCGATTGAGATGCGAATCAGTGATACCGCGCAAACAAGAATATATATCACATATATCAATATATATCACATATCGTAAACAATCCATATAAGGTTTTTCATATTCAATATTATATTTATTACCAGGCCAGGTTCTTTGTGGATTTTTCTGTTTGAATGTAATTTTTCGAGTTTTGTAAATTTTCCTCTCTCAATTTTCGATTATTTTTGTGAAAGCGTTTCAAACATATAGTAATGATAAACGAAATATAATTTTTCTGAATTTTAAATTTAATTCTGTACCGAAAGCCATTTTAAATAAAACCATTTTAACTAAATACGTTTTAGTAGGTGTTGAAAAGCACTCCATATATATTCGCTTAAAAAATATATTATTTGAAAGAAGAGCTACATTTTATACCCTTACAAGTAATTATAATTTAAGTCAAAAGTCTGCAAAACAGAGTAATTTTTGACCTTGTAAATAATATATATTCTTACCCTAAAGTAAGCACACAAAATAGATTCCGATTTGCCTTTTAAAAATTTGCGTTAATTAACAATTAAAGATAACCAAACAAAAAGAGAAGGTACAAAATTTGTCAAAGTATTACAGTTTTGAAAAGTACAAAAGAATGTGTTATTTAAATTTTTTACCCTGCAAGCTGGCTGTAAGCCCCATAAAACAAATACTTAAAAGATTTCCGAGTTAAAATTAATGAATTCTTTTGCATAGTTATAAAATTTGAAAGCTATAATTTGCTAAAAAATAATCATATAATAATAACAAATGGCCAAACAGCAAATGACCGCCAAGAAACATGTTGGATCCGATTTACATTAAAGCTTTAATAAATTAGCAATGAAATAATGGAAAAGAAAAAAATATCCTACACAACTTTCGAAAACATCACAATTTCAAAAATATATATAGAATGTACATATATAATTAAATTTTTAACTCTGTATGCTGGCCTTTAAACCAAATAGAAACCAACCAAAATAACCAAATAGAAATTAGTGTTTAATTATGTTAGATTTCAAATTCCGCCCCCTGATTTACTTATAAACTGCAATAAGTTTATAAACTAAGCTCTTACCCATATTTTTAGAGCTCAATAGCTCATTTCAAAATACTTTTCTAACTTTTTCATAAAGTTCCCCAGCCTATGACAGCTTGAAATATAAGAACTCTGCTATGACCATAGAATCAAAATGCCCACCCCGCAGGAAGCACCCAAAGACCCAGCCCTGGAACTCCAACAAAGAATTCAGAGTCTCCTCCGTTGAAACTAAATTTATTGCAGATCAGCTGAGAGGAAGTTACACACGATTGTCCGGCCACACGATGCCCTCGATGTAGCTGAGGAAGGAGGCGACGCGTGTATAGAGTCCGGGTGTTTTCGTGGCACACCCAAAGCCCGAGGAGATCACACCCAGGACCGAGTAGATGCCATCGACGATGTTCACCTCCTGGATGAGGGGGCCACCGGAATCGCCCTGGCAGGCATCCTTCTTCTGCTTCGAGTCCGCCGCACAGAGCAGCGAATCGATGATGCCCCTCTTTAGAGCCCGAATGGTGCTCGGTTGCTCCGCAAAGGAGGCATTGCACTTGTCCACCGGCACCAGGTCCAGGCCAGCGCGCAGCAGGATCTTCGACCTGGCCCGGTCTGTGAGAAGAAAGGAAGGAAAGGAAGGAAAGGAAATGCAACCTTAATTGATTAGGTAAAGCTAGATGATTCCTTACTGGTCACGTTCATGACACCCCAGCCGGCGACAAAGATCTTGGAGTCCAGCGGCGGATCGGCGGTGTCTGTGTAAAGGCAGGCTGGTCGAATGTTCTCCGTTTCGTGAGCATCCTCCGCCAGTTCCAGGATGGCGATATCGTTGTACTTGCTGCTACTGACATAATCCGGATGTATGTTGAGGTTGGCCTAAAGGCGAGGTACATTAATATCATCTGTTGGATTATCTAGATTCTACTAGATCCTTACCACATTAATGTCCTGATAGCCCGACTCAGGATTCTCGATGTTCACCGTTCCCAAACGGACAAAGGACGGTATGGTGTTGTCACTATTGACACAATGGGCGGCGGTCAGGACATAGCGACTGGCAATGAGTGATCCGCCACAGCGGAAGTCCACCGTTCCGAAGGTTGTGTAGGCAATGGCCGCCATGTGTGGATAAACGCCAAGCTCGACGGGCACACCGCCCAAGATGTGAGGCGTCAAGGACTTCATTCTGTCATTCGACCTGAGCTTCGTGCAGGCTGTGAGTGAAACATAACCAATGGAACAGGATTAGTAAGAGATAAGTTAAGGCTTGGGGCAGCACTGAATCAGGGGTAATGTGGTATTGTAGGAGTAGGGTTTTCCCAATTGACTTTGACCCCGTGGCCGCGAAAAACCCAAGACCGAGATGAAAATAATAAACACAAGGGGAATCACCTGCCACTGCCGGACGCTCGGAGTTGTCGGGAACATTCACTCGCGAGGTGGGGCTGACCGGGTTGACTGGACTCACTGTCGTCGACGTCATGGTGGCCGGACTGTGAATAAAGAATAGGGATTAGCACTCGAGGCTATTAGTGATGGTTTCCGCCTGAGACAGAGACTGCATGCGGCTCCCTGGCTAAGGCCAACTGATGTCCATGCCGTAATTAAGCTCGGACCAACCGCAAATCGGGCAGAGTAAAGTTCCTGGGACTTGGATTTGGAGCGAAGTCCACTTCATCGTCCAGATCATTGCTGGGTTCCCTCCAGGGCTGGGGTTCCTGCGGCCTGTCCTGTCCACGGAAGCGAAAGGGTTCAAAGGGATTGCTCATTGTCGCTGGCACGGGTGGAGATGCTGTTGTTGTGGTCTGTCTCGTGGGCATCTGTACCTCCCGGGCAGGCTCTATCTGCATTCCCTGCTGGCGCAGTCGGTCGTTGACCAGATGGATAAGATTCGGATCACCACGATCCCTGGGATTCTGTTGTTGCCTATTGGAGCGAGGTGTGGTCATCGGTCGATTGACTACAACACGAGGTTCGTTTTGGGAATTGTCCCGACCCCAGGCCACAATCCAGGATCTGACCGTGGTCGTGGTAGGACGTGGTGGAGCTATGCCCCAGGGACCAACGTTCTGGGTGGGCATTTTCATAGAATCATGGGTCTTTTGAGGCTTCAAAGTGGTGGTGCTGAGCAGCTTGTTAAAGTCAAAGAAGTCCAGGTTCTCATCCAAACGAGGTTCTCTCTCCCTAGACGGCTGGGAAGCCGGCTCCCGATCCCTATCCCTGCTGCGCTCAGAGGTGGTAGACACTGGTGCCTTAGATGGAGATGGCGATGGCGATGGCAGTGGTGCTGGCAATTGACCTTGACTGTTGGGGTGAAACGGGATTAATCCTGGAGTGGCCAGGACGGCATGCAACATCGGTGGGCACAAAGCGCAGGCGGGACACAAACAAACAAATACACACATACACATAGAGATAGACGGTGAACAGAAAGCGAAACACAAGGACCAGTAGGATGGGCTTACTCAGTGGAACAACAGGGCGCTATGGGACAGCAAATGTTCTCCTCGATCAGCCCCAGGCCACAGCTGGGCACCTGGCTGGCAGACAATTTGCCCGATCTGAGGTATCCTTCGATGGTGTCACAGGCGGAGGAACCGCGGCAAATGCCAGGCAGATTCATAGGCAGCTTACAGTCGTCGCCCTCTGGAAGAATATGGGATAAGGTCAAAAGCTGGAGGAGGAGATGCCCAACGAGGAGGTACTTACCTTCCGCATCCACTGGCTTGTAGGAGCCGGCGAGCAGCAGGAGACCAAGGAGGAGCCACCACCTCCTCGCCGAGGGCATCTTTTGATTATCTGGAATTTTAAGGAATTATTCAAATGGTTAGCGATCTTTTTTAAAACCAGAATCTGTTGGTGTTTATTTTCATTTGCTGATTACAGTAAGCCATTGACCCACTTAATTTTATTATTATTTTTATTACTTGGCGGAGAGCAAGATCTTTGTGAGATTTCGCTCGGGGTTTTGCCAGGTTCTTAAAGACTTTCTGGAAAAGAATTCTTTCTCTCTCCTCCCTCTTTCTCTTTTTTTCTGTCTCTCTCTCTCAATCTACCACTCTGACTTGGCTAATTCATCTTCAGCAACAAATGAATCACTTGTGGCACTTCATTTTGGTCATTTTAATTGAGTTTCCATCATCAAGAGTCTCTCTGATAAGAGAAGTATTTTATAAACATTTTATATAATATTGCACAACATCAGACGAATCAATCTGGACACGTCCTTCTGTTCGTTTCTAAGAAACCTTGTCTCTTAGTTATATAGATCAATGGAAGTTTTCAAATAGTTTTCTTGTCATTGAAGGTAATCTATGCACATTTATCTCAGAGATTGTGTTACTATATTTTTAAGCTGTCTAGAAAAGTATTCCAAAATTAATCGAAAATATTCCTACTTTTCAATATAATTAAATTTACTTTAAGGAACTTGATCACTTTTTTATATTTTTGAAAAAGTTTAAAACACTTTTAGGAAAATAATGTAATTTAGGGCACAAATTTATAAGTTTTAAACTTGTTGTCTCAAGAAGACATTTGTTTCCATAGAATCTAAATCTAAAACTAAAAACAATCTCTAGATCTTTGTTATTTTTGACACAAAACAATGTGTAATGCTCATATTCCTAATGAATTCCTTATTATTATTATTATTATTATTATTTCTAATTTCCCTGCTAATAACTCTTGCCAGCTAACGGATCTAATCAGCTTCCGGTTTTCCGGACCAGTGTAATTTTCCCGTTGTAAACAACCAACGGAAGTCCCAAGCTCGTGGCATGCAATGCTCTTCCCTCCTCCTCCCTCTTCTGACCATTCCCTTCGCCTTATCGAACGCACCTTTGACACGACCTTCTTTCTGTTTTTTCTATTTTTTTTTTGTTTTTTGGTCCCTGATAAGGGGACTCGCTGAACGTATCGATGATGTTTATTATTGAGTGCGTCGAGCACTGGGTGAATATACACAACACAACACCAAGAAAACAAACAAACAGAACAGAGCCGAACAGAACAGAAAAAAACAAAAACTAAGAAAAATAAAGAGCGCACGAGAGTGTAGCGGAGAAGACAATACAATACCACTAAAAAAAAAACAAGCTAAAAAACCGGTGGTCGAATATTGAACGCAAATCTCGAAAACTGGCAGAACGGGCCTGGCTCTGACCGCTCAGCAACGCATCGCCCCAGCAACTGAAGCCCAGCTTTGGAGCCGGAGCAAGAAGCGCCGGGTCCGGCAGCTGATAGCACCCATCATCAGTGACCGTTGCTGCTCCTCTCTCTCCCGCTTTGTGAACCGGTTTTCCCTGCCCTCCCGAGCGGCACTTCCACTTCCACAACCCAACAGATAAAGCTTTACAATGAAGGAAAAAGAGTAAATCAAATAAAGCAAAAGCAGCCTGCAATTAGCGAATTCTCCACTCGAAACTGAGGTCACAGACTACAGGATACCGTTTAATTATGAAGACTGGAGGGGTATACGGGTCCTCTATTAACTGGATCGATCCCATCGGTTCTATATGTTCTACCCTCTCAATCATCTCTATTCTTTCTATCTGTTATACTTATAAGTTTAAACGGTTCTGTAAGCTCTATGTGTTCTATCAATTCAATAGGCTCTATAAAATATATCCGTTATATTGGCTTAATTGGTACTATAAACTATCTATCGCCTCAATCATCTCTATTCTTTCAATCTGTTATACTTAAAAGTTTAAACGGTTCTGTTGGCTCTATGTGTTCTATCGGTTCTATCGGCTCTATAAGTTGTATCTTTATTGGTTCTATCAACTCTATCGGTTATATCGGTTCTATCATCTTTATCGCTTGTATCAGACTAATTATCTTTATCCGATCTCTTTGCTCTGTTTAAAGGTTGTAACGATTATATTGGCTCTATCTTTTCTATCGGTTCTATATCAATTCTATCGGTTGTATCGGACTCTATAAGTTGTATCTTTTCTAGTGGCTTTATTAGTTCTATAAACTCTACCGGTTGTATCGGCTCTATCGGTTCTATCATCTTTATCGGTTCTATCGGACTAATTATCTTTATCCGTTATATTTGCTCTACTTATAGGTTCTACCGGATCTATAAGTTGTAACTGTTCTATCGGTTCTTTCGGACTTAGTATCCTTATCCGTTTTATTTGCTCTATTTATACATAGGTTTTAAAGGTTATATCGGATCTATCTATTCTATCGGTTTTATCGGCTCTATCAGTTTCATCAACTCTATCTCTTCCATGGGTTCTATCTGTATCCGTTCTTTCAACTCAATTGGTTCTAAAATCACACTTTCGTTTATACATAAAAGAAATTTAGTCAAAAGTTGGGGACTTTAATCCTAGAAACTCAAGCTAACAATTGCAGAATTATGGCCCATGATCCGACCTTCACAATCTAATTCGTTCTTATTCGTTTCATAGCATTAACTTAAAGCAACGAGATTTATTTTCAATTTGATCGATTCATGTTAGGTGTGAAATCACAGATTTGTGTATGCCAATTTTGTTTTTTTTGGTGTATGATGGAGCTTTACTTCCAAGCCCATTACAGTAACTGAGTATCCGGCCAAACGATTCGCTCGATAAAGTCCAGGAAGGAGGCCACACGGGTGTAGAGACCCGGCGTCTTGGTGGCACACCCAATGCCCGAGTTAATAATGCCCAAAATGGTGTAGATGCCATCCTCGATGTCCACCTCCCGGATGAGTGGACCACCGGAATCGCCCTTGCAGGCATCCGCCTTTTGTTTCTTGTCCGCCGCACACAGTAAAGAATCGATGACACCCTCCTTTAAATTCCGAACAGCAACGGGCTGCTCCGAATAGGATATATTGCATTGGGCTAGAGGCACCAGTTCCAGGGCAGCTCGCAGCAGGATCTTCGACCTGGCCCAATCTGTGAGAAGAAAGGAAAGGAAATGCAACCTTTATTGACAAGGTAAAGCTAGATGATTCCTTACTGGTCACATTCATGACACCCCAGCCGGCGACAAAGATCTTGGAGTCCAGCGGCGGATCGGCGGTGTCTGTGTAAAGGCAGGCTGGTCGAATGTTCTCCGTTTCGTGAGCATCCTCCGCCAGTTCCAGGATGGCGATATCGTTGTACTTGCTGCTACTGACATAATCCGGATGTATGTTGAGGTTGGCCTAAAGGACAAGAACATTAATATCATCTGTTGGATTATCTAGATTCTACTAGATCCTTACCACATTAATGTCCTGATAGCCCGACTCAGGATTCTCGATGTTCACCGTTCCCAAACGGACAAAGGACGGTATGGTGTTGTCACTATTGACACAATGGGCGGCGGTCAGGACATAGCGACTGGCAATGAGTGATCCGCCACAGCGGAAGTCCACCGTTCCGAAGGATGTGTAGGCAATGGCCGCCATGTGTGGATAAACGCCAAGCTCGACGGGCACACCGCCCAAGATGTGAGGCGTCAAGGACTTCATTCTGTCATTCGACCTGAGCTTCGTGCAGGCTGTGAGTGAAACATAACCAATGGAACAGGATTAGTAAGAGATAAGTTAAGGCTTGGGGCAGCACTGAATCAGGGGTAATGTGGTATTGTAGGAGTAGGGTTTTCCCAATTGACTTTGACCCCGTGGCCGCGAAAAACCCAAGACCGAGATGAAAATAATAAACACAAGGGGGAATCACCTGCCACTGCCGGACGCTCGGAGTTGTCGGGAACATTCACTCGCGAGGTGGGGCTGACCGGGTTGACTGGACTCACTGTCGTCGACGTCATGGTGGCCGGACTGTGAATAAAGAATAGGGATTAGCACTCGAGGCTATTAGTGATGGTTTCCGCCTGAGACAGAGACTGCATGCGGCTCCCTGGCTAAGGCCAACTGATGTCCATGCCGTAATTAAGCTCGGACCAACCGCAAATCGGGCAGAGTAAAGTTCCTGGGACTTGGATTTGGAGCGAAGTCCACTTCATCGTCCAGATCATTGCTGGGTTCCCTCCAGGGCTGGGGTTCCTGCGGCCTGTCCTGTCCACGGAAGCGAAAGGGTTCAAAGGGATTGCTCATTGTCGCTGGCACGGGTGGAGATGCTGTTGTTGTGGTCTGTCTCGTGGGCATCTGTACCTCCCGGGCAGGCTCTATCTGCATTCCCTGCTGGCGCAGTCGGTCGTTGACCAGATGGATGACGTTGGAACCCAACGTTCTGTGTGGGCATTTTCATGGACTCATGGGTCTTTTGAGGCTTCAAAGTGGTGGTGCTGAGCAGCTTGATAAAGTCAAAGAAGTCCAGGTTCTCATCCAAACGAGGTTCTCTCTCCCTAGACGGCTGGGAAGCCGGCTCCCGATCCCTATCCCTGCTGCGCTCAGAGGTGGTAGACACTGGTGCCTTAGATGGAGATGGCGATGGCGATGGCAGTGGTGCTGGCAATTGACCTTGACTGTTGGGGTGAAACGGGATTAATCCTGGAGTGGCCAGGACGGCATGCAACATCGGTGGGCACAAAGCGCAGGCGGGACACAAACAAACAAATACACACATACACATAGAGATAGACGGTGAACAGAAAGCGAAACACAAGGACCAGTAGGATGGGCTTACTCAGTGGAACAACAGGGCGCTATGGGACAGCAAATGTTCTCCTCGATCAGCCCCAGGCCACAGCTGGGCACCTGGCTGGCAGACAATTTGCCCGATCTGAGGTATCCTTCGATGGTGTCACAGGCGGAGGAACCGCGGCAAATGCCAGGCAGATTCATAGGCAGCTTACAGTCGTCGCCCTCTGGAAGAATATGGGATAAGGTCAAAAGCTGGAGGAGGAGATGCCCAACGAGGAGGTACTTACCTTCCGCATCCACTGGCTTGTAGGAGCCGGCGAGCAGCAGGAGACCAAGGAGGAGCCACCACCTCCTCGCCGAGGGCATCTTTTGATTATCTGGAATTTAAGGAATTATTCAAATGGTTAGCGATCTTTTTTAAAAACCAGAATCTGTTGGTGTTTATTTTCATTTGCTGATTACAGTAAGCCATTGACCCACTTAATTTTATTATTATTTTTATTACTTGGCGGAGAGCAAGATCTTTGTGAGATTTCGCTCGGGGTTTTGCCAGGTTCTTAAAGACTTTCTGGAAAAGAATTCTTTCTCTCTCCTCCCTCTTTCTCTTTTTTTCTGTCTCTCTCTCTCAATCTACCACTCTGACTTGGCTAATTCATCTTCAGCAACAAATGAATCACTTGTGGCACTTCATTTTGGTCATTTTAATTGAGTTTCCATCATCAAGAGTCTCTCTGATAAGAGAAGTATTTTATAAACATTTTATATAATATTGCACAACATCAGACGAATCAATCTGGACACGTCCTTCTGTTCGTTTCTAAGAAACCTTGTCTCTTAGTTATATAGATCAATGGAAGTTTTCAAATAGTTTTCTTGTCATTGAAGGTAATCTATGCACATTTATCTCAGAGATTGTGTTACTATATTTTTAAGCTGTCTAGAAAAGTATTCCAAAATTAATCGAAAATATTCCTACTTTTCAATATAATTAAATTTACTTCAAGGAACTCGATCACTTTTTTAGATTTTCGAAAAAGTTTAAAACACTTTTAGGAAAATAATATAATTTAGGGCACAAATTTATAAGTTTTAAACTTGTAGTCTCAAGAAGACATTTGTTTCCATAGAATCTAATTCTAAAACTAAAAAACAATCTCTAGATCTTTGTTATTTTTGACACAAAACAATGTGTAATGCTCATATTCCTAATGAACTCCTTATTATTATTATTATTATTATTATTTCTAATTTCCCTGCTAATAACTCTTGCCAGCTAACGGATCTAATCAGCTTCCGGTTTTCCGGACCAGTGTAATTTTCCCGATGTAAACAACCAACGGAAGTCCCAAGCTCGTGGCATGCAATGCTCTTCCCTCCTCCTCCCTCTTCTGACCATTCCCTCCGCCTTATCGAACACGCACCTTTGACACGACCTTCTTTCTGTTTTTTCTATTTTTTTTTTTGTTTTTGGTCCCTGATAAGGGGACTCGCTGAACGTATCGATGATGTTTATTATTGAGTGCGTCGAGCACTGGGTGAATATACACAACACAACACCAAGAAAACAAACAAACAGAACAGAGCCGAACAGAACAGAAAAAAACAAAAACTAAGAAAAATAAAGAGCGCACGAGAGTGTAGCGGAGAAGACAATACAATACCACTAAAAAAAAAAACAAGCTAAAAAACCGGTGGTCGAATATTGAACGCAAATCTCGAAAACTGGCAGAACGGGCCTGGCTCTGACCGCTCAGCAACGCATCGCCCCAGCAACTGAAGCCCAGCTTTGGAGCCGGAGCAAGAAGCGCCGGGTCCGGCAGCTGATAGCACCCATCATCAGTGACCGTTGCTGCTCCTCTCTCTCCCGCTTTGTGAACCGGTTTTCCCTGCCCTCCCGAGCGGCACTTCCACTTCCACAACCCAACAGATAAAGCTTTACAATGAAGGAAAAAGAGTAAATCAAATAAAAGCAAAAGCAGCCTGCAATTAGCGAATTCTCCACTCGAAACTGAGGTCACAGACTACAGGATACCGTTTAATTATGAAGACTGGAGGGGTATACGGGTCCTCTATTAACTGGATCGATCCCATCGGTTCTATATGTTCTACCCTCTCAATCATCTATATTTTTCTATCTGTTATACTTAAAAGTTTAAACGGTTCTGTAGGCTTTATGTGTTCTATCGGTTCTTTAGGCTCTATAGGATGTATCCGTTATATTGGCTTAATTGTTACTATAAACTATCTATCGCCTCAATCATCTCTATTCTTTCAATCTGTTATACTTAAAAGTTTAAACGGTTCTGTTGGCTCTATGTGTTCTATCGGTTCTATCGGCTCTATAAGTTGTATCTTTATTGGTTCTATCAACTCTATCGGTTATATCGGTTCTATCATCTTTATCGCTTGTATCAGACTAATTATCTTTATCCGATCTCTTTGCTCTGTTTAAAGGTTGTAACGATTATATTGGCTCTATCTTTTCTATCGGTTCTATATCAATTCTATCGGTTGTATCGGACTCTATAAGTTGTATCTTTTCTAGTGGCTTTATTAGTTCTATAAACTCTACCGGTTGTATCGGCTCTATCGGTTCTATCATCTTTATCGGTTCTATCGGACTAATTATCTTTATCCGTTATATTTGCTCTACTTATAGGTTCTACCGGATCTATAAGTTGTAACTGTTCTATCGGTTCTTTCGGACTTAGTATCCTTATCCGTTTTATTTGCTCTATTTATACATAGGTTTTAAAGGTTATATCGGGTCTATCTATTCTATCGGCTGTATCGGTTTTATCGGCTCTATCAGTTCCATCAACTCTATCTCTTCCATGGGTTCTATCTGTATCCGTTCTTTCAACTCAATTGGTTCTAAAATCACACTTTCGTTTATATATAAAAAGAAATTTAGTCAAAAGTTGGGGACTTTAATCCTAGAAACTCAAGCTAACAATTGCAGAATTATGGCCCATGATCCGACCTTCACAATCTAATTCGTTCTTATTCGTTTCATAGCATTAACTTAAAGCAACGAGATTTATTTTTAATTTGATCGATTCATGTTAGGTGTGAAATCACAGATTTGTGTATGCCAATTTTGTTTTTTTTTTTTTTTGGTGTATGATGGAGCTTTAATTCCAAGCCCATTACAGTAACTGATTATCCGGCCAAACGATTCGCTCGATAAAGTCCAGGAAGGAGGCCACACGGGTGTAGAGACCCGGCGTCTTGGTGGCACACCCAAAGCCCGAGTTAATAATGCCCAAAATGGTGTAGATGCCATCCTCGATGTCCACCTCCCGGATGAGTGGACCACCGGAATCGCCCTGGCAGGCATCCGCCTTTTGTTTCTTGTCCGCCGCACACAGTAAAGAATCAATGACACCCTCCTTTAAATTCCGAACAGCACCGGGCTGCTCCGAATAGGATATATTGCATTGGGCCAGAGGCACGAGCTCCAGGGCAGCTCGCAGCAGGATCTTGGATACAACGCGAGCTATAGAGAGATTATATGTAGAGAGCAAAGGAAGGAGGATATAGCAATGTGTTTCCACTCACTGGTCACATTGAGGACACCCCAGCCGGCCACAAAGAGCGTGGAGTTCAAGGGCGGATCCCTGGGATCCGTGTGCAGGCAAGCAGGACGAATGTTATCCGTTTCGGTGATTTCAGTGGCCAGCTCCAGAATGGCCACATCATTGTACTTGATGTTACCCACATAGTTTGGATGGATGGTGACATTACGCTGAGATCAGAGAATGCCATAAGTTATATATAAGTTATACCATACCAATACATCCTCCAGATTTAACTCCAACTTACCACATTGACGTCCACATAGTTCTTGTCCGGCATCTCCACATTCACCGCTCCCAAGCGGACAAAGGCTGGCATTAGGCTATCCGTGTAGACACAGTGGGCAGCGGTAAGGACAAATCGTTTTGAGATCAGTGAACCACCGCAACGGAACTCAAAACGATCAAAGGTCAAGAAGGCAATGGCCGCCATGTGGGGATATACGCCGGGATTCACAGGTACACCGCCTACGATATGGATAACAAGGCGGGTGTGGTTCATGTTTCTCAGCCGGTGCTCCTCCTGCATCTTTTTGCAAGCTGTGTGATAGAAAGATTTGATAGTTTTCCGCTTTCATTCCACGGGAAATCTTCTTACCCGCCACAGCTGGACGATCCGTGATCTCATCGGACACATCGGCACGAACCAAGGGACCCCTTGGACGAGGTCTTAACGTTGTCGTTGTGGTGGTAGTGCTACTGGTGGTAATGGTGGGTGGGCTGTTGAAAAAGGGAAATCAGTAGGTAGTAAATAAGTTTAAGAGCTCTCTTACCCATTAGGACAACAGGGTGTGATGGGACAGCAGATGATCTCCCCCCAGACGGTCAGGCCACAGCTGGGCACTTCGGTGAGGCTCAAAGCACCGGACTTGATGTAGCCATCAATCAAAGGCTCACAATCATTGATGGTGCGGCAGATTCCGGGTATACTACTCGTCACATTGCAGACTTCACCCTCTGTGGGGATTAAACAAATAGCTACAGTAGGAATCTCCATTAAGGCAAGGAAAACCTACCACTTAAGTCACCCCGAATGGAGCACACGGTGGCGGCGGCGATTAGGATGAAGAGCAGACTTTTCCTTCTGACAGGCTGCATCCTCGAATAACTAAGGAAAGTGATCAGTGATCAGTGATCATTATAGTCTCTGGAACAGTAAATTGGAAAACTACAAAGAATAAGCCTGTCAGTCAGTCAGTTGACCGACTTTTGATTACATTGATAGTACTAAATATGAAGTCACCCAGCTACCCAGTCATGCTGTACTTGGTTTGGGTTAAAGTGAACCCAAGACAGCAAGGAGATAGTAATTGTTTTTTAGAATTTCACCATCTTGCCGAGGACCGAATGATTCAACCCCACCTACGGGCATTCCGTTCTCGGCATATATATATTTCTATTATTTTTTTTTTTTGGGCTTCTGTAATCTCGCTACTCTGTCACTCATCGCTGATATCGAAACCCCCACCGAAACCCGAACAATAATTTCTACTTGACAAACCCGCACTGATCCCGATAAGGCGGGGGATTGGCCTGTGTGTTCCCAAATTGATTTTGAGTGGCAAAAATATGTTACCTACATATATATACTATATATATAGATGTGTGTGTAGGTCCTGATGGATCTCTATGGTGTAGTATTATTATTTTTTTGCTTCTTATCAAATAAGGCCTTTGGCACAGCCCTTACTATAAATGTTCAGGCACAGCCCCTGATAACGGACGACGACGTATCTCGCTAATTTGAATATGGGAATCGTGGAATAAAAAGCAAAACAGCAATAAAAGCGAGACGGAGGAGCTGGTGCTAAACCGGTGCCGGATCGGAGCGGATCGGATTGAATCGTTGGACGTTGTGGCACTAATCGCGGCAGAATCTGACCGCTCGGTAACGCATCGCCTGAGCAACTGCGGCCACCAAGGCGGCGATTGAGATGGCGGCGAATCCGACAGCTCGGACAGCTCCGAGTATCATGATTGCTACTCTCTCGATCGGACCGGTTTAGCCTCTGGCAGTTTACTGAATCAGAGCTAGAAGCGATTCAACCCGATCCGAACAGAAGCTAAGCCATTGTCATTAACAAATGGAATTCATTATGCTACTTTTCTGGCTTATTTAACAAAATAATATATTACAAAACAAAAAGCCCAAGACACTTGACTTATTCCCTGTCCTGGAAAATACTTTATCCCCAAACTTTGGAACTCCAATTGTAGATGTTACCTAAGCCTGGCTTACAACTGGAATTACAAGTGCTTAATTTATGCGCGAACATTGTGAGTAAACACACGAGATGTGCTTATACATATATTCGCGAGATATATTTAGAATTCTTTACAAACTGCTCATTTCCGAGTATCAACTTCAAATAAATCGAATAAATAAGAGGCTTAAGAGGCTGCTTAAGATCTTATATGGGTCAAGTCAAGTAAACACATATATATTTACCACTTTTTCATTGCTTATAAGGCTCATCAGTATATATTTCTTGCAAACTTAAAAAATCTTCTTTTCTTATATGTAAATAATTTAAAACTAACATTGAGGTTGACAGTATTTTGGCATGCAACGTTTTACATTGGTATCTCTCTCTCTCTCTTTCTCTTCAACTGGCTGGAAAAGTACAGTCAGACAGGCCAGTGTGGCCATGTCCTGGTGTTCATATCCTGCCAGTATGACCCTGCTGTTCAAGCTTAAGCTAGGCTTTGCTTCTCTTCCTTCGCTAACTTACCCTATCCTATGGTTCCTAACTTAATCTATATGACTACATTTAGGCGAGGCTCTGGCTATATCCTAATTCCGCTGCTCCTGCTCCACAAATCGCCTGAACTGTGGACTCAGGAGGCTGGTAAAGTACATAACCCGGCTCTCGCAGTCAGCGCCCGTGGGCGTGGCAATGCCCAGAACGCAGCGGCTGCCTCCGGGCCGCACCAAATGGAGCACACTGCCCACCGAGGAGGGACATGGGACGCAGGTGGTCTCATTGGAGAAGCGCTGCAGTGCTAGCTCACCGCCCTCCGGCGACAGGCAGAGGTGTATGCTGCCCAGCTCCTTCACGCCTCCATAGTTGGGCAAATCCTCGCAGGCCCAGTTGGGACGCAGTTGCATGGGCAGTTCGTAGAGAGGGCAGTCCGAGGCTAGAAAGGATTTGGAATTTGGATGGTCAGAAGGAGTCACTCAATGTCAATCTCAATACCACTTACCTTCACCCTTGCCCCAGGCCACGGCCACCAGGCTGCCGCTCACCTGGAGCCGCGTCAGCTCGAACTGGCTGCAAATGGGAGCCACGCTTACATTGGCCGAGCTCTCCCGACCCAAATTCAAGGGATCCTGCAGACGGATGAGGGCCAGATCCTTTTGGAATTGAGCCAGACGCTGACGGGGGAGAGATGATATATTTTAACTAGAGGTACAGAGAGATCCCCGTCAAACTCACCACAATGTCCGCTAAATAATCCTCATCTACGTCCACATCCCTCATATCAGCCACCCCGAAAACCGCATGACTGGGTCGCTGGCATCCGGCGGCACTGAGCAAGAGCTGTGGGGTCAGCACCATGGCGGAGCAGTGATGCAGGTGACCATCGAAGGCGGCATTCGGATGAGCCAAAGCGGCCAGGTGACGGTAGTGAGGCAACAATGCATCCGCCCGGGCAATGGCGGCCGCCTCCTGGGGATCCGGCTGTGATTTGCCCGCCGTAGAATCATCAGGTAATCCCAGTCTCGGTTCGCTTTGGACACGCGGTGCCAGCGGCAGATTAAGGGGACAGCAGATGATCTCCTCATGGGTTCCATCACGGCATGTCGTCACATCCTCGTCCACCAGGCGGCCCTGCAACAGCAGCGTGTCCACAGTGGGGCAGGCGGACACACCGCGGCACTGACCCTTGTACAGTGGGGCAATGCACTCTGCTCCCTCGGAGGTATCCCGGAAGGTGGCACTGTCCCGCGTCGGTCGCAGCGGAATGGGTGTCTTGGAGCCTTGGACATACTCGTGGTCGGTTTGGAAGATGGACAACCAATCGTCGCTATTGTCAGCAGGATCAGGAGCTGGAGCAGGCGTAGTAGTTGTTGTGGTGGTGCTACTTGTTGTCGTCGTGGTTGTGGTTGAGCTGGTTGTAGTGGTAGTCGTGCTGGATGGATCGGAGGAATCAATGCGCACTGGAGTGACGGCATCCTCCACGGGACAGCAGATCTTCTCGCTGCGGCTGGTGTAGCCGCAGTTCATCACGGTCTTGATGGTTAGCCTACCCTCTCGGAGATGTGAGGATAGAGTCTCGCAATCCTCCAGAGCCTGGCAGCGACTGCGGTAGCTCACCGTGGGACAGGGGTCACCCACTGCAAATGGGTATGGGTGAATGTCAAATGTGTATTAATTAAAACGCTTTACTAAATTGGCATGCATTATAAACAATTGTAAAAAACTGCTATATAGGGTCATAAATAAAATATTAAGCAACGGATAAATGATTATAAACCTAACTGGTGCCTCTTTGCCAGCCTACGCACAGTGGATATATCAATACTAACTCAAAGGGAGTGACTGAGTAATCAATCAATTAAACATATGTAATCAAGATAGCAGTATATAGTATAAATATCAACAAAGCTCAAAGCTTAAGAAGACTATAAATCAGATATTTGGGCCTCCATTAAAAGGCAGTTTTTATCGGTTATTTGCAGGGATCTATACCTCCTGAACTTCCTCCTTATATACCATATGGATTTGTATCTTACGCACCCTCCAGACTGTAGTATCCCCGACATAGGCCCAGACAGAGGCTCGACAAGATCAGGGCTGATGCGAAGCCCGATTCGCCGCGACGTAACATGGCTCGTGGCTATCGATCTCGTTGCCAATGCTGGTTTTATTTATTAATTTGTATTTTCGTTTTTTATTTTTTTCTTATTTGTATTTATGCTTCGCTCCAAGTTCCCCTTCTCCGGTGATTGGACCGATCGACGGCTCTGCTGGCGATCAACTGACAGCCGGAATCGGAGATGGCTCTCAGAGCTCAGCGATCGATCCGAAGCTGGAGGCTGCTCTCCCTCCAACTGGTTCAACGAGAGATCTCGAAAGAGAGAGAGCGAGCTTCTAGCTTGGCTTTGGGGGTTCCAACATGGTTGGAGGACTTAGTCACTAGTCGTGAGGGATTGGGAGAAACCCCGGTAGGGAGAGAGTGCTCCAAGTGGGGGGCGTGTCCCCAATGAATCGAATCAGTACTGGAGAGTCATGGTTAAATAATATATATTAATTATAAGTTGCCTCAAAGCACTCTGACATTGACTTCCGCTCTTAACTCTGAAGGAAATAAAAGTACCTGCGTGGCCAGTCCTTTGTAATGTTAACCAAGTTTACAGATTCATAACTTAACAAAGATATAAATTAAGGATAAGCGTCCTCAAAGCAAGATAGATAAATCAATTGGGAATTCAACTCCTCGAGCACAGGGACAACATCCTATATAGACTAAGAGCACAAACATTGTCATCAGTTTCCAAGTCGCTTTCAAATGCGTCACAAAACTGATGGTTGATATTGGAGCTATACAGTATCTTTATGGATCACGTATCAATTAGCCGAGAACTTTCACACAATCTTAAGACTTAGTATAAAAAAGTGAGGTCCGTTCTAGTCCACAATTTAAAATAACAATCTTGAAGGAAGCAAAAACATTTTTTGGCTATTAAATTTTATTTTTCTTCTACAGCTTTATAAACTATACGATACATAACCCCTTGGCTTAACAGCGTTTTCTCACTCAATCTGTGTCTAGTTCTCTTTGGCTTTCTTCTTAAGAAGAGCTTGGTACCAACTCTTATAAGGCGCTACGCATCTTATTCACGAGGTCAAAACAGCTCCTGTCACAACTCCTTGATCCTTAAGAATCCTTAATTAAATAATAACCATCACCATGACATTATCTGGTCACATCACATGGTATCCGATTGCCTCTGGCAAACATTCTTTCAATTAGCCAAGAACAAGGATGACGCAGTTGGCCAGGCCGTAGAAACCCAGACGGTTAAGACGATAAGACCCCAGCTACCTCGATGCGAGGGAGAAGCATTTATACTATAAGTCCGTATGCTGTTTACTTTCAATTGTGATAAGCGAAACAATTTTTGTGGATTTGCACAGGAATCGGTTTATCTTTTGTTTTTCATTTTTCTTTTTCTTTTAATTTTTGTGTAGTTCTAGGTCTAATAATACTCTCGAGGATTTGGGGCGAACGGGGCTGGAGTTCATGATCACAGTTGGGTTCCAAGCGAAATTTTATTGTTGCTGAAAGAGTTCTAGGAGAAGATCAAAGATCAGAGAGCTGGGAATTTGTGGCTAGTATCCATAGATGAACGTCTCGTAGACGAAGCTACGCGTCAGATTGGAGGTAAGCAGAATCTCGGCATTGGTTTGACCAATCCCACCCTTGGTCAGGTATCCACCGGCATCGTCTGCAGTCATGTCCACATACACCTCGATGCAGGTGAGCGTGACACCGGTACTGGCTCCGGCCGGATAGCTCATCATCACCTCGATGTCATTGGCGCTGGCAAAGCTCTCGTCATCGTAATGATTCACAATCAGTCGATCGCCTGCAGAGAATGAACAAATATTTCTCGTTTAAGTCCGGGATATCCTTGAGCTCCAGTGACTTCTGCTTACCCGAAGTGCGCTCCCCCGAGGAGAAAACAATGTTACCCTTGGAGTGCTTCACCTTGTTCATCTCCTGGAGCTTCACATCTGGATTGAGGCTGGTGTAGCGCGTCTCATCCGTCACCGGGGTGATGTCCGTGTAATAGAGATCACTGGCCCGGGCGTGGGGCAATCCCGAAACGGTGGCCGTTACAATGCCCAGCACCAGGCAGATCACAAGCAACATTCTCGGCGGTAAGCACTTGGTACAAAAAAACACGCTCAGAGTTCACCAGAAAAAATAAAATAAGGACTGAAATGATGACCGAAGTTTGGAAAGCCGGAATCAGAATCACGGAGTTGGATGGCTCTTTTCTAAACGCACTATACGACTGCTTTACGGATTTTGGCTTGTGCCGGGTACCGCGTACCGCTTATATACGGACTCCCTTATCGGCGGTCACTCCCTCGATAAGGCGGGCCCGACAACACTGAACGATAAGCCTCGGAAATGGCCATGTCAGTTTTGGCAGGCCGCACTTAGCCCGCACTCACAGACGCAGCCATTAATTGGCTATAATTTTTCGATCAGTTCCTATAAATAGGCCTGGCCTGGCCAGCTTACACTAATCGGCATTGGCCATATCGCATGCGTAAAGCGTTTTGTTACGCATTTGTTGACTCAATCTATAGACTATTCAGGTACCCAGCACCAGCACATAATATACGACGTCATCATTGGTTTCATTCACACTTCCGTCTCCTCTTGCCGGAAGGCTTCCCCCACTTGACTTATCTATTACGTGTCCACGATCAATTTCCGCAAACAGTGCTGGACAAAAGTACACTACGGTTGTATTTGTAAAGGGAATATCTTTGAATTTCGGTTCGATTCGACAGATATACGTAGTACCTGCAATGAAAAGAAGACTAATTGAAAAGTTTTACCTAGCTTTTGAACTGAGGGACTAGTTGGCTGATGATGATGTGTCGAGGACCTTTCCCTGGTAGGGAAATTTTCCTTAAAAACAAATATATTGACCGGATGAGCCAAGTCAAGATACCAAATTATAATACCTTCATGTTACATAGGTGACATTTAGTATCACATGTCACCTAACATATGTTATCAACGTTCCATCAACTTGTCGAATTCGCTTGCTACCGAGTTCACGTTCACATTCGAAAATCGTGTAAAAACCGACTCTACCGTTATTTCTGTTTCTTTCTTGAACAAAAGGTTGATGAATATTTGAAGAAAAAAGTTTAAAATTCATTGATCTTTCATCAGTAGGAACGGTAAGTAGTTATTCTTCCTCGGACTCTTCCTCTCTCGGTGTGAATGAATGTTGATGAAAATTCGATATTGTGTATATTGTTAAGTCAATGATGAATCATTGATGAATATCTCTGGTTGATGAATTTGTGACCTCACATGTTGACGAATCATTAATGACTTGTATATGAATTATTGATGAATTTGTTTATAAATTCTCGATGAATCATAATGAACAGTCGACGAAAATGTGATCCACTTTTGGTCTAAAACGTTGATGAATCATTGAGGATACTCGATGAAATGTAAATAAATGTTTTTGATAATTCATTTGACATTAAGCTTTATGGTCTAAAACACTGATCAAACTTCCATGAATTGATCACCGACGATAGCCTAGGACATGATCACCTTAATTTGCTCAGTAGTTTTTATCTGAATATTCATATGATTCATTAACAATATCTATGAGATGGTTAATGAATTACTGATGAATTTCTGAATGAATTACTGAGGAATTATTAATGAATGGTATATGCTGGGTGGTGTAATGGTAACTCTCTCACTGTCCCCAAAAGCGATTGATTCGCTCCTTGGGCGCGTGTTTGTTTGTTTATTTGAACGCTGGTTAGCAATCTTGGCCTTGATATGCATATTGGCGCACAATGGCAAACAATCTAATGAGCAAATAAAGCCCTATCTACAAAGTCAATTGCCTGTCTATGCAACATAACATCATCGCCAGAGTCAGGGCCATGGCCAGGGCCAGAACCATGGGACGTTGTTGAATCAATTCATAACTAACTGACTGACTGACGTAGGTAGGTAGACATATGTATATTCAATTGAAACTAATAATTTGTAGCTTGTGGCAAAGAAAGTGCCCAGGCGGTTATTCCCTTACAGCTTCGATCTTATGACGTTGTGTGAATCACTGGGGGGAATTCCTATTCAAGATTCTATTTGATAGCAAATAAATTCATGCTTGGGTATATTTTTAAAAAACACCTGAGCCACAATATATGGCACTGGCTCCGGTTCCGATTCGGGTATCTCACACCCATCCATGAATTGGAATCTGATGTAGGTGAGTGCCGTACCCAGATTTATGGCTCCCCGGCCTTTATGTAATCGGTGTTTCAAGTGGAAGGCGCGTGAGCAACGAAAACAATTTGAAATTACTCTAGATTAGCCACCCAGGTGATGATATATGATAGATGCCATTATAACAAGAGTTTTGCACTGAGCGAAAATAGTTGACACTTAAGGAACTACCAATTGAAACCACATTCTTTGCTTAACTAGAGTCACAGATGTTCATAACCATATATATATATTTTAAATTGGAGCCTTGGGAAAACAGATATCTATGGCCTAATCCCTCACACCGTAGTACTGAGCCTGGTACGAGAAGTTCCTGGTGTTGCTGGCCTCCACGACAATGGAGATGAAGCGCTGACCAATGCCACCGGCGACCACATAGGCACTGCCATCGTTGGAGTCCTGGGTGCACACTAACTCCACGTAGGACACAATGGCTCCTGTGCCTTCTTCCGGATAGGAGAGCTGCATGCTTACGTCCTGGGAACGAGGATACTCAAAGTGATCGGCACCCTGGGCCACCAGTTGGTCACCTGAAAGTATGCAGGGGTTTTTCTCGGTCAAGTGATGGACTCACAACGAAGTCTACTCTCCGGCGGACTCACCAGGAATACGGGCTCCCATGTTGTAACGAACAACCTGGCTGCCAACGCGGGTCTGCTTCTCCATACGTTGAAGTTGTACACCCGGATGCTGGGCGACAAAGGCACGGATATCCTTCACCACCTTGATCTGATGCTGACGGGCACTGCTATCCACGGGCAGCGTTCCCGCAGATCCTTGGGCCACAAAGCAACCCAGAAGGGCGGCGGCGGTAAACAGGATCAGGCTAAGCTTGGACATCTTGGATAATTTTTGGGGGAAAAGTGCTAGTATGTATCGGCAATCACGGCTGCTTGAAAGTCACAGAATGATGGCCAAGGTTTGGTTTCCACCCTTTTTTATACCGTCTCTGTCTCTTATCTTGCCCCCTTTGCCAATTTCGAGTGGCATGGGTGACAACGTCTAATCCAGGACGGGAAATGGTTGCTCCACTGATTGCGGGAATACCCTGCCTAACTCATCAGGGGGTTTCACTCACACACCTTCACCTGTTGGGCATATACCTTTTGGTTAGAGTAACAATAATAACACTGATAAGGGTTTCTTTCCACTTCACTCAATTAAATTGAACAATTTCGGTGTTATTGTGCTCTCGGATCTAATCATCCCGCACCCCTCGGCGGCTGTGTTCGGAAGATAACACGGCTTCCATGTGGGAGTCAACAAATAACCAGTGGACTCTATTCCTCCGCCAAGATAGTTGTTGTCGATTAACGCCACCCGGGACAGGAGTGACACCTGCGATGGTGTCCCTCCTGGACGGACGACGGCATGATCAAACTGGGAGAAGAGCTTCCCGGAATCTTATCGCCAGCGGACTTCCCTGGAAGTGGGCCATCGAAGCAACCGATGCCCCAATCGTCGTCAATATTGCTGATTCGATTAAACAATAAGTTCTGAATCATATACTTAAATTAGGAAACACTTCAAGTTCAATGCGCTATTGAGGAAATCGGGTTCATTAACTATAGCATCTCGTTTGTAGGGATCAGGGTTAGTGTTATGGATACGTATTTACCGGGGAATATATAATATATCAAAAGAAATATATAATATATCCAGAGGCATATATAATATATCCAGAGGAATATTTAATATTTCCAGAGAAATATATAATATTTTCAGAGGAATATATAATATATCCAGAGGAATATATAATATATCCAGAGGAAAATTTAATATATCCAGAGGAATATATAATATATCCAGAGGAATATTTAACATATCCAGAGGAATATATAGTATATCCAGAGGAATATTTAACATATCCAGAGGAATATATAATATATCCAGAAGAATATATAACATATGCAGAGAAATATATAATATATCCAGAGGCATTTATAATATATCCAGAGGAATATTTAATATTTTCAGAAGAATATATAATATATCCAGAGGAATATATAATATATCCTGAGGAATATTTAATATATCCAGAAAAATATATAATATATCCAGAGGAACATATAATATATCCTGAGGAATATTTAATATATCCAGAAAAATATATAATATATCCTGAGGAATATATAATATATCCTGAGGAATATTTAATATATCCAGAGGAATATATAATATATCCAGTGGAATATATAATATATCCAGTGGAATATATAATATATCCAGAGGAATATATAATACATCCAGACGAATATATAATATCCAGAAATATAATATATCCAGAGAATATATAATATATCCAGAGAATATATAATATATCCAGAGGAATATATAATATATCCAGTGGAATATATAATATATCCAGTGGAATATATAATATATCCAGACGAATATATAATATATCCAGAGGAATATATAATATATCCAGAGGAATATATAATATATCCAGAAGAATATATAATATATCCAGAGGAATATATAACATATGCAGAGAAAAATATAATATTTCAGAGCCATTTATAATATATCCAGAAGAATATATAAAATATGCAGAGATCTATATATCTAGAAGAATATAAAATATATCCAGAGGAATATATAATATATCCAGAAGAATATATAACATATGCAGAAAAATATATAATATATCCAGAGGCATATATAATATATGCAGAGAAATATATAATATATCCAGTGGCATTTATAATATATCCAGAGTAATATTTAATATTTCCAGAAGAATATATAATATATCCAGAGGAATATATAATATATCCTGAGGAATATTTAATATATCCAGAAGAATACATATATAGTATATCCAGAGAAATATATATTATATCCAGAGTATATAATATATCCAGAAGAGTATATAATATATCCAGTGGAATATATAATATATCCAGAGGAATATATAATACATCCAGACGAATATATAATATATCCAGAGGAATATATAATATATCCAGAAGAATATATAATATATCCAGAGGAATATATAATATATCCTGAAGAATATTTAATATATCCAGAAATATATATATTATATCCAGAGGAATATATAATATATCAAGAAGGATATACAATATATGCAATAACAAATGTATATCCCATATGTCAAATCGACAAATACATTCAGCTTTAATTGAAGCAACAATATCGTATAATTATATATCGAAAATTTTAAATATAAAAAAGAATCGCATTCAGTCTTAAAATATTGATATTTTCAAAAACTATAAAAAAAATATCCTATATATGAAATGTATCACCAAAAATATCGTGCTATCATAGCAAAAATAGTGAAATTTAGGTATATCGAAATGAAATATATCGAACAAAAATCGCATTTGACTTTAAAATGTCGATGATTTAATAAAATATTATATAAGACGAACGCATAATTTGCATTTGACACAATAACATATCATACAAAATTGGTTTGACTTTAACGTGGCCAACTTAATTAATATAGAAGAATAATAATATAATATGGATATTATAGAAAAATATTCACAATAATGTATTTAATTTGAATATTAAATGTTAAAATATTGATTTTTATATCAACTTTTCAGTCAAACGTAGATACAATTTCAATATATAAATATATAAAGCATTAAACTACATTTTCAACAAGGTAGATCACCAAGTTGAACCTCTTTCAGATCCTTTTTTGACTCGTTCTAAGTTCAAAGAGCCTTCTGGCCAGCTTATTCGAATAAGACGACAATTTCCTTATAAAGATATCATATACGTATTCCATATTTATATATACATATATTTCTTTACCTTAAATGGGAAAACCATTATTCTTTTAATTCCAGCACTTATATAAAAAATATGTATGTACATCTAGTAAATCCCAACCACTAAGGGAAAATAAACAAAACAGCTTTGGGGGATTTACAAGATAAAGTGTTTAGAAAACGTGTTTATTTCTATGCTATTATTCAGACTTATCGATAACTCTAGAGTTACATTTGAATGTAAAAAATATTGTTTTCAAAACTCCAACTCCCGCAGCGCACTAGCATCGATCATTAGTTAAAATTACCAGATATACAGAGAGCGTTACGGAAAATAAGAAGTTGAAAATCGTAGGAAAAAAAAAACACTTGAATTTGGGATCCGATGATGCGAGGCCCGGAGAGCTCCGCTCCGCTTTAGAGACTCGCACGGAACGGATTTGATTGGAATGTGGCAGCATTGAAAAACTTAGCTAAGGTTAGTTGGGAGTTACAGGAATACAGGCTAAGGTTAGTACATTGATTTTAGTGTTGGCAATCATAAAGCAAAACACATTCTTAATATCTTCATCATCATCATCTATTGCACTCGATTCGCAGACGACTGACTCTGTCTCCCTTCCATTCGCGTTCATCCTACAACTATCGCACTGTCTCACTCATTCGCACGAACATAACAAGGGCGGGCGGCATGGAAATCCCCTAAGCTTTTAAATCGCCGGTCCTTCTTTAATTTTAACTGAACACCAAGGTATTTATGAGATTCTTCGATTTAAATATATAGCAATATATATCTGGGAATGTGATGTATTTGATTGTATTTTTTGTTATCGAGAAATACTAATAGTTTTGTTCGCGAATTCTATTTGTTCTGTGGATATAATTTACAATCTAGACACGAATTTGTTGTACAAAATCGAAGCTCCTACCAAAAAGACCTATATTAATAACAAGACGAGTAACGCCTTTCGAATTTTTCTGTGATCTCTTCTTAAATCTGTGCATGGGCGTTACTCATCTTATTGTAATTTATCTCTCCTCCTACTAAGCTTTAATAATATCATCGCCGATTTCTTTACAGTGGCATTTAATGCCCTGCGGCTCGAATCCTAACTATAGCTAAGGGATTTCCATGTGTCCACCACAGTGCCTGTGTACAGTGCGTTACAAAAATGCTTACATCTGTACGGTTTCTTTTGTTTTTTGTTTTCAGTTTATACTTGTTTGCGTTACAAATCCAACAACAATTCCTTTTCTCATTTTCACTAAATTGCTTTTGTCTAAAATATCGCCCCTTGCCCTGGCTGAAACCCTTGTGATCCATCTCGTTTTGATCCTCCTGCTGCTTCTCATCCTCCTGCTCCTTCTCCTCCGGCTCCTTCTTCTCATTCTCCTTTTCCACTTGTTGCTGGACTTACCAGCGTGGGCGTATCTCCTTGAACCACCACTGCTGGTAGCTATCATTGACATCGCAATGGCCCAGGGCCAGCTGCTGGGTGGCCGGATGCAGGGCCATGCACTTCTTGTGGACACGATGCATGAGATGCTTCGTGTGCTCGTTGTACTGCCAAGGACCGTCAACAGTGCCCAGCCGGCAGACGGCCAGCTTAATGCCCTGCCGATCGGCCTCCACGCAGCGCTCGCCGACGCCCAACTGTCCAGCGGCATTGAGCCTGACCAGTTGGTTATTGCCACCGCCATGGCAGTAGGTGAGACCCATAATGGCCGGCGGTTGATGGCCCATGGAGTCCAGACAGCCGTCGGAGGCCACCGAGCGTAGCTCGCCCCAGTGCAGATTGGCCGGCAGGCCCGGGAACTTGTCATACACATCGTACGCAATGTGATCCATGAACCACTGGAAGCTCTTGCAATTGAGGCGCTTCTTCAGCGCCAGCTGCTCACTGATGTCGCCCATATCGAGGTAACGTGCCAGGGGCTCGCGTGTATAGAAGTACTCCTTGTGCGTGTCGTCAAACCAGGTCTCGATGACGCGCTTGTAGTTGATCGTGATCAGTGGACCCTTCTTCTTGCTGGCCAACTTCCCGAAATTGTAGGGCATGAAGCCGCGATAGACGTGACCCACTCGGGAGCAGGGCACCCACTCGATGCTGCCGCCGCACTGCCAGATCTTAAAACTCAGCTCGAAATTCTCACCGCCCCAGACCAGCAGGCCCGGATCGTAGGCTCCAAGCTCCAGGAAGTATTCCCTGTTAATGGCAAACAGGCCGCCGGCATGTGTGGGACTGCGATAGGGTTCCGAGTTATGAGGACGACGTCGCTGCTCCCGGCGAGGCACCTCGTTCTCCTTGTATAGCATGCCCCACTCGAAGATGCCACGGAAATGGTTATCCGTGCCGTACACCGGTCTATACTCAAAGTTCTTGTGATCAATGCCATCGATAATGGGCACAGTCATTACGGTGCGATCCCGGTAAATGGGAGCCAGCAGGGGCGGCAGCCAATTGATATTCACTTCGCAGTGAGCGTCCAGGAACACGATGACCTCACCTATAAGGAGGATAAAGGATTTTAATAGGGTTTTAAAGATGTGGTAAATAAAGGTTTATATAGATTTGCATATATCTATATTCACACATATTCTATTGCTTCTATATGTTTATGTGAAGTGAAATCTGATGAAACTTGAATTATAGATTAAACACGTCTGGTGTTTTAATCATTTGATATTGAGATTGTGGGTGATGATTCAAAGAGTTTACCAAACGTGGGTTTCTTTTGTTTGGAATTTTTTAGCTGTTTTTTCATGATTTGATAAAAACAACTTAAAGATTCTGTAAGTAATTACCCGTTACGACACGTTTGTTGATTCTATGATTTAATGATTTGATTTGGACTTTGTTTCCTCTTAAATTACACACCTGTTGCCTCCATGGCTCCTCTGGATCGTGTCCGGATGAGGCCTTCGCGCTCCTTATTCCTGATCACCTTGACCAGGCCCTTGAACTGCAGCACATACTCATCCAGCTTGGTTCTTAGGTTCTCCTTGTCGGAGAAGTCATCCACCAGAATGATCTCGTGCAGCATGTGCGCGGGCGAACGATCAATCACCGAGTGAACGGTGCGCATGAGCACCGAAAATCCTTCGTTGTGGAAGACAATGATCACGCTGGTGCGTGGCAGATCGAAGGGATAATCCCAGTGGCGGCACTCTTCCAGCCGCGTGTCTCGCACCGACCGATGCATTGAAATCTCATCGGAGCAGGCAATGTTCATGCCATACTCCATCTCGGAGGCGTCGGCCACATGTTTCTTCTCCGGCGTCAGGTTGTGGGCCTCACCGTTCTCCCCGGGGCCAGTGCGTGGCTGGAGGTCTTTGGGTTCGAAATTGCCAAGGCCTGAAAATGGGAATATTCGTTACAAAAATGAGAAATGTAAATGTGCGTGTGCAAACTTGCAGCAATTGTTTAAATATTGGGTTAGCTCTTTGTTTTATATACTCTTGCAGCAGGTATTTTAATTTAGAAATTAACTGGTTAAGAAGTTTATTAAATATAAATGAGAGGAGTTCAAAATTTAAGGAGTTTATTACAAAGCTTATTAGGTATTTATATTGTCAGTAAAAAAATGCAGAGGATATAAAAATATAATAAATACAAATACAACAATATAAATCGCTAAATGTTTTGAAATTTACTCGACGAGAGTTTTGAGAATCAAAACTGAGGGAAAAACATATATTTTACCCTTTATAAGGAGTTTTTATCCATTTTTTAGCCTATTCGGAATAATAATAATAAAATTTCTTAGTTCAAGAGATCAATAAAGGCTCTCCAATGATCTGTTTTTGATTTTATTTTAGATTTTAAACGATTGTAACTAGAATCTTAAGTTTCGCTTAACTCTCAAAGTTTTAGTTCACTGAAAATTGCTTTTCTGTGACTAATTGGTAGAACGAAGTGACTAGATATGAGATATAATTTATTTTAAATGTCATAAAATAGCTATTACTACAAAAATTGTTGTTTAACTTTAGACATGGATATATTTAGTCACAATATTAATATATTTAACCACTTTTTAGTGTTGTTTACATATTTTAAAGTTTGTGATTTTGCGGGTCAATGTTCTCGGGCATTAAATGTATGTTTTTAAAGGCAGTTTTTTTTCGAATCAGAACTATAAATTAGTAGTAATTAACATCTCAAGCCACAATACTGGCGAAAAGAGCTAAGAATACCAGCTGCAAGCTCAGATTAATCTTGAATTTAAGAGACTAAGACATGTTCACTGACTGATCTTTGGTTCCCGGCACTCTGCAGCTACTCACCATCAATCAGCTTGGGCACCTCTCGCGGACGCCCCTCCATCCGGCGGTGGGCAAACTTGGGGCCACCGAAGCGAGAGTGGTACGCCTCCTGGACGCGCTTGTGATGGTCACTCAAGTTGGCCAGCAGATAGAGCAGCGGCAGCAGGACCAGCAGGCACAGGACCATCCGGCAGATCCGCCCGCTGCGGATGTTGCTCACGCGCATCTCGCTCGCTCTCTCTCTCTCTCTGTTGCTAGCTGGCTATCTCTCTCTCGTGATACTCTTACTTCGCCGCTTTGTGTGCGCCTTCCTCACCTCCTTCCCACCGTTGCCTCTGCCGCTGCGGCTATGGCTAGCCGATTCTGTTGACGTGTCTAGTGGCCAAAAAGAAGAAGAGGCCGAACGAGAACAAGAACAAAAGAGGCAGCGGCGCTCAAAGAATATTCGGTTCAAATGCCGCTGCTGCTCTGCCGCGGCGCTGCTCCGGCTGAATATCTGGTGCGGGTGCGAGCGGGACGGGGCGCCAGGTGATCAAAGCGGCTGCCGATAATGACAAGTGCCGTTGCTGCGGCCAGGCGGCCAACGAATATCTTTGACAATTTGTCTATTTGCGAACCGAACGGATATGGAGGGCGCTTGCCGGCTGAACGCGCCGCTGTCACAAAACAATTGCGAGTGCAGGTTGTACGAGTTTTCGCGGTGCAAACGTAAACAAAAACGGAGAAATGTTCAACGCAGTGTGACCGCGCCACAAACGATTACAAATACCACATTACATTTAGATAAATACCTTCAAATACCAATACTTACTGTTATACATACTGGTATACTTTTATACGCAGCAATAAAACAAAAATATCGATGACACTATTAATAACAGAGATAGTTTAAAAATATATTTTATTTTATATTTTTGTTGACTAATCTCGTATTTAGTTTTATTGAACTTGTTTATATCAAAGTACTAAGAATGTTTAAGTTAAAAAAAATAAAGAAAACCCCCTGATGACTCTATCGATATTATTGATTGAAAGTTCTGGCAGCATCTTAACCTCTTATCGATAAGCGCGATAAAATATCTGTACTGCGAAAACAAACACCCGCGAAATTGAAATGATTATATTTATAAAATAAACTTTAAATACAGTTCAAAGTTGAAATGGTATATATTAATAAATATTCTATAAAATAAATTTGATGTTTTTGAAAAAAATAAGAGTTTTGAATGTATGTAATTTTAAGAAACTGCGTTAGGAAATACACGAAAGTGCTGAACATATTTGAACAGCGTTTGGCATACATTTTCTAATAATAAAAATCTTAATAAATACTTTTTATATATATTTCATTTCTTATGAACAAATATCATATTAAAATTAAAGCACTCCCAAAATGTTATTTTTCACATTAAAATATTTCGAAAAACCTTAAAAATAGGACATTTTCAGAGGACAAATTCAAGTTCCGCTGCGAAATCCTTTGGAAAAGTAAAACCCTGTTCTTGGATTCAAGAAATTTTCGACCTGTGTAACTTAACTTTTGAATTTAAAAATAGATATATAACGAAATCCTTTAAATAAAGTATAAAATATATATAAATTCCCTTTATTTGGCTATTTTGGGCTTCACAGCTCGTTATTTACATTTAAAAAAATGAATACATAGTTTCGAAGATACACTCTCTATTCGAAATAAAGTTTAACAATTATGTACAGGGCTTTGAAAGAGCCGTAAAATATACAGGCGCTAAAAGCTAAGTTTAATAAATAAAAAATCACGAGCCCTGCTTGGAGGCATTGGATCGGATGGATGTGACTCCAGATCCCAGAATTAGTGCTGCATCTTATTAGTTTTGGCAATGGTGAGGGAGCTGCCGATGCGACGACGATCGTAGAATGGCTCCGGCTCATCCAATGCTCCGATGGCAGTCACAGCCGCAAAGCTGGAGCCGACAACCTCCTCGTTGAGCTCATGACCCACCTTGGCCAGGTAATTGGAGATACCGCTGTCCAACTCCTGCTCGTAGCTGACCCGCATGGGGGCCAGCTGATGGTGCAGCCGACCATTGTTCACCGCCGCCGACAGAGACTCACCGCGGATCAGATACTTCATAATCGTCTGGATATAAAAAGAAATCGAGTTATAATTCTGATTGCTTGAAGTAAATACTGGTTACATACGCTTGCCACACTGGTGGTGATGCGAGTGCCACCTGCTGCTCCCACAAGCAGGCGGACATTGCCCTGCTCATCCACAACGATGGCGGGACTCATTGAAGACATGGGTCGCTTGCCCGGATAAATGTAATTGGCCGGAGAGGCGGGCACACCAAAGCTATTGATCACGCCCGGCGTGGAGAAGTCATCCATCTCGTCGTTCAGAATAATGCCAGTCTGCAGGGAGGCAACCTTGGAGCCAAAGCTGAAACAAGACAAAAGTTAACAATTGTTTTAACTCCCAATAGAAGACTTATATAACTAATACTTACTAGTTATTAATGGTGCTGGTGATGGCCACCGCATCCCCATTGGTGGCCAGGACATTCATGTGAGCGGTGCCATGATCCTCCTCGACGGTGAAGTTAGCTCCATAGTAGAGAAAATCCTGCGAGGTTCTGTCATCGTGAATAAGCCTACGAATGCTCTCCACAAACTCCGGTTGCAGCATCTGCTCCAGGGTGGCATTAATGGATGCAGCATTCTCAGGATCGGCATACAAATCACCCAAATTCGTTCGCTGTCCATAGGCATGCTTAAAGGCCTCCACAACCCGTTGCCAGTAGACATACTCATCATCCGTATGCATGCCGCCCATGATGTTAAGGATAAAGGCCAACAGGGGTCCACTGGTGGGCATTGGGGTGGAGTAGAGCGTATAGGAACCACTGACATTGGCCGCTATGTGGCCATCGCTCTCCCAGCGCACCTTGTAATCCCGCAGATCCTGTTCGGTGATAATTCCACCCAGACTCTGGATATCCTCGACAAACTTGCGTCCCGTCTCACCGCCATCGTAGATCTCCTTGGCCCCGTTCTCGGCAATCCTCTCCAGCGTATCGGCCAGAACGGTGCGCTTCATATAGTCACCCTCCAGCCAGGGCTCTTGCTTCTCATTGAGAAAGACCGATCTCAGGCCAGGATCCGCTCGGATCTGGCTTAACTTGGATTGTATGGCCGAGGCCAGGTAACGGGAAACCACATGTCCCTCGCGGGCCAACTTGATGGCCGGCTGGAAGAGACGCTTCCAGGGCAGGATACCATACCGACGATGCATCTCCCAGTAGCCCAGGATCTCGCCAGGCACTGCGCACGCAGTGGCGCCCGTTATCTCCGTCTGTCCCACAAACATATCCTTGTGCGCCGCCGCCGGTGCCGATTCCCTGGCAATCAATGTCTCCACCTTTCTGCTGCTTCGCGTATATATGGTGGCCACAAAGCCGCCACCAATCCCCATGGAATGCGGCAACAAGAGTCCCTCGCAGAGCAGCGTGGCAATGGAGGCATCCACGGCAGAGCCGCCATCGTTTAGCACATCGCCACCAATGTCGGCGCAACCGATGCCATTGGACACAACGGCACCGCTGATGAGCCGGGAGTCACGATTCCGGAGTCCGAAAACTAGACCGAGGGTCAGAGCCGTCACCATCACGGCTGCCAGCAGCAGCCATAGAAGGATCTTCTTGCTACACACCAACCTGGAAAGATATAGAGTTACGAAAAGGTGTCATCAGTTGTTAGCTATCGATCTTCGATCAGCGATCAGCGATCTGCGATCAGCCCCTCAAGACTGAAGAGCTTGAGGACCTGATCGAGTGGAGCAGCGGTGGCGTCGATGATGATTAGCTTTGATTTCTGGCTGGGCACCGCTATCGGTTCCACGGCATTTCGTCGAGTCACCTCTTGATATTCCACATCGAAACCCATAATACCCTGCAATCTATGACGATCTCAAAAAGGAGAACAATAATACCTGCAATTAATCGAGTTTGCTTCCTCAGACTCAGTTGCTAATTGAAGGCAGTTTACTTTGTAGTGAAGTATACCAAACGGAGGGTGAGATTGCCTCTACAATTCAATTAAAGTTTAATCTCCATTGTATTACATTTTTGTGCCTGCCAAAGGGATTGTAAATTCCAAGCACACTTTATGCACTGCACTACTTTTGGTTTTAGAAAAGATCTTTCTTTAGAGATTGAAACAGATTGAAAGAGCAAAAATATCCCTAAAGAACTGGAAATTTCTAGTTTCCAGTTTTTTATCTTAGTATTTCCAGGAGAATTGAGAGATTGAAACATCAAATCGTAGTGGAGCAAAAATATCCCTAAAGAACTGGAAAATGCTAATTTCCAGTGATATAAATGGATTTTGTTATTGTAGTATTTCCAGGACAATTCAGAGATTGAAACAACAAATCAAAGTGGAGCAAAAATATCCCTAAGGAACTAGAAATTGCTTGTTTTCAGTTTTGTTATCTTAGTATTTCCAGGAGAATTGAGAGATTGAAACAACAAAAATCATAGTGGAGCAAAAATATCCCTAAAGAACTGGAAATAGCTAGTTTCCAGTTTTGTTATCACAGTATTTCCAGGAGAAACCCCTCGTAAAACCCTACGTAATACTGATTATATTTCGTAATGTCTGTAATCAGTGACCATTAAAGTCCAGTTATATTAAATTAGCCGAATCATTCTATTCGATCTATCTAGAAGTGTGGTATATATTTCAGAAACCTAAGCCCATTCAGTAGCTACAAAGAAAAAACCCATCTGTATCTTTCTTAACTGATTGCTCACGTCTCTGGAGTGTCCCATGACAATGTAATTTTTTCAGGTATATCTACTCGACGGCTGATCGTGACCGGATGAGTACGGACATACCTTTTGGACGGCAGGGTGCTGCATATGTAGTACCATATCACCTTATCAGTTCCTCCCCCGACACCGGGAACACTCTTTTCCACGCACAACGCGTGCCCATAAAAATGCCAACCAAGAGATTGTAGAACTTGAGGCGCTATTAACAAGCAATTTTCTATAATTAACGTAGATTTCCCGCACAATGGGGGAAAGTGGCAGAAAAAACACTTGGATTTAATGCCCGTCATGGTAAATGCTCCTCCAATATTTCGATTTCAATTTCGATACGATACGATCGATTATCGTCGCCGTCTACTGCAGATTATGATCCTCGAGAGTCCGAAATCGAACCTGCTTTTTGTGTCGTATCATTTGATAGAAAATTTTTACCTGAATCTGCATATCGCTTCGGTACGATAAGAACCAGTTCGGGCCAGTCCAGTAGCTCTCGTTCCTTACGATACCATAATTAATTGGCTTTGGTCAATTAATGGCCATACAATGTCAAACTTTCGGGAGCTGTCGATATTTAGTTACCTCCAATTGATCGAATGCCGACAAATTAAGGTGGTCATAAAGGACGATGATTGGTCCTGCGATAAGCGACTGGGATTATAGCCGCTTTATCCGGCATTATCAATGGCACGTTTTATAACCCCAAGAAAAAGACGCCACTAAGGTCAAACTGCCCACAGTAAAAGTTTATGAAGAGATCTTTGCACCCAAAGAAAATCGAAAGATCCGAAATTGTGAATGGAGAATTTGGAGAATGGAGAATGTTAGTACATATTTGATAATGAATCGATCTTTAAATAAACTGATATCAGCGATAAAACAGTAAATATTTGCAGAGACCTCAAGTGGGGGGTGTGGCACTTGAGCTACATTAATTGGCATTACGAAAAGCTATAGGAAGTAATATACTGTTATGACATTATTTGATAATAGAAAATAGTACATATCGAAAATGTATATATGTATATATCTTAATTTCAGGACAAGATCTGCATTCAAAAATAAAGAAATTTGGTGTAGAAATGTATATGTATACACATATGTTATTTAAAAGAAAAGACTGACAGATCTCAAAATATCTTAAGATATTTATCATATCTTGATGTATGGATATCTGAGAAATTTTATACGGTTCATTATTACATCTTATCGAGAAGAAAAGCTCAACATATATTCAAATATATAAAAAATGTGATATATTCAGAAATATTGAAAGATATTGTCAAAAAGAAATAATTAAAACTGTTATACGGTTCATTATTTTGTTTATTATATTGGTTTGATATAAATACATAAATGTTTATACATCGAAAAGAAAAGATTGATAATATCTTTATATATATTAAAGTTGTATAAAGCGAGAAATAGCGGAAAATGTTGCATTTTATTTTAAAATAGCGAGAAGAACTAATTGAAAATGTTATACGGTTCATTATTTTGATTATTATATTGGTTTGATGTAAATACATCAATGTACATACACCGAGAAGAAACGACCTTTAGATCTTTATATATCTTAAAGTTGTATATAGCGAGAAAAATAGCGGAAAATGTTGCATTTTATATTAAAATAGCGAGAAGAACTAATTGAAAATGTTATACGGTTCATTATTTTGATTATTATATTGGTTTGATGTAAATACATCAATGTACATACACCGAGAAGAAACGACCTTTAGATCTTTATATATCTTAAAGTTGTATATAGCGAGAAAAATAGCGGAAAATGTTGCATTTTATATTAAAATAGCGAGAAGAACTAATGGAAAATGTTATACGGTTCATTATTTTGATTATTATATTGGTTTGACGTAAATATATTAATGTGCATACATCGAGAAGAAAATACCTTTAGATCTTTATATATCTTAAAGTTGTATATAGCGAGAAAAATAGCGGAAAATGTTGCATTTTATATTAAAATAGCGAGAAGAACTAATTGAAAATATTATACGGGTCATTATTTAAATATATCAATGTGCATACATCGAGAAGAAAAGACCTTTAGATCTTTATATATCTTAAAGTTGTATAAAGCGAGAAATAGCGGAAAATTTAGCTTTGTATTTTAAAATAGCGAGAAGAACTAATTGAAAATGTTATACGGTTCATTATTTTGATTATTATATGGTTTGATGTGAATACATACATATATCTGAAGAAAAGACCTTGACATTTTACTATCGAAAAATATTGAATTTTTATTGTTAAATATCAATATATTCAATCGTAAAATATCTTGACATTGAAAATCGAAAAATATTGCAGTAGATTTTCTTTTAAAATATCGAACTGAATTAAACATCTAGGACATAGTATTTAGATATTGTTTGACCAGAATATCGATTCCCAGGTACATATGAAAATCAATGTTAAAATATGAAATTTTGTATTGATCTTTAAAGGAAATATTAATACAATAATAAGATAACTACAATATTAAGGATCGAATAAAGTAGATTTGGTGACGTCTTTCTTTAACAAGATATATAAGTAAATAGATAAATAAATATTAAGATCAAATTAAAAAGAGTATGTCTGAAGAGTTTATTTAATATTTATATTTAAAATTGAAATATTAAATTATAAAGAGTTTATAAAGAAATATATAGAAAGATATCTTTGTAAATGATATAAACTTTTCTAGATTGTACTAAAAGATCTTATATCAACGAGAAGACCTCTGGATCCTGTAAGAAGATATCATGCCTTAAAAGAATGTAAACTTGGTTATAAAGCTTAAAGTGAATATTAATAGATCTCCAGATCAGAATCTTTAATTTTATTCTACTTTTTTTCCTCATATAGATTATTTTTTGTACTAAAACAAGTCCTAACTCTTACAGAGGTAGCTAGGATGCCTACTGATAAGATATACTGACATGCTGTAATCTTCTTCAGAAAATAAGAAAACATCTTTTAATTACAGAATATATCGGTAGATCTTGTCTTTAGCAGGTAAAAACAGTTCCTCAAAAGCAATCAAAACTAAAAACAGAACAGAAAAAGAAAAGCAAACACACATTTCCATTTATCAAAATCTGGAATATGTGCTTTGTCATTAAAATCGAATTGTGTCTGCCGCAAAACGGGAAAGATAAGTTTGTGACGTTGCCGGGAAGGAACGAAAGTCAACCTTGGCCATTTGACAGGTGTAAATAAATAAGGTGTTTTGTGCCATGATAGGCTTTTGGCCAAGAGAACAAATGATTCCCACCGAATAATTGTGATGCAGTTTGTAATGAATTATGCAAATAGCCGCGTGAAGCGAGGGGGATTCTTTTATTGCTATTGTTTATAGTATTATTATTTTTTTGTTGTACAATGTAAAACCAGTTTTTTAGCGAGGTAAAAGCATGTGCTGCGAAATGAACTGACAAATCATTCTCCCTAATTGTCGATTTCAATGGCATTGCTCTCGCTCTGTATCTCAGTTTCTCTGAGGGGTATTTTTTCTTTTTACTTTATGATATGGTACCAAATTCTTTGGTGTTAACCCAATCTTATCGGGATAATATAGCCACATGTATCCATAAAACAGAGCCTGTCAATGATCCGAGCTGAATGAAACACAATTATTCTCAAAGAAAAATAAAGAAAGAATTCCCGTGCCATAAACTTCATTGGCCATATCTCAGCCCATGTACTATATCTTATGAGGTGTCGTAAAGTGTAGCAATTAAGCTAATTGCTTTCAACTTTCGACAAGTTTCTGATAAACAGCCAATGGAACACATATTTACTCATTTTGGGAGTGCGAATGACGCGTTTTCCATGTCCTTCTCGGAATAATCTTTGTGATACAGTGGCAAAAACATACATATGTATATCTGTCTATAAAAATAACAACCTACCGAAAATATAATATCTATTAACGAGCAATAACTAGAGCGAACCTGACATTAAATAATCTATGATATCTTCAATCCAGAGAGCTTTTAATTACTGTGCTATTAGTTGTATATATATTTTATTAATTTATCTTATCTGTGGCAATCTTCGAGTTCCAGCTAAAATTTACTGACTTGCAAAAAGAGACAACAAAGTAGTTAACAGGTTGTTAAATTGTAGATTTCTAACTTATAGAAATATAATATATAGTTTCTTTGGCTTAATAATTATTCGGTTGCTATTTAAACAAGTGGAAGATGGTGTTAATTTCGAAATTTGACTACTACGAGTTCAAGTTCCCAATTTGACAAGATACTATCGTCATTGCCACCATCATACATTATATAGACTTCAATACAATACAATATAGTATTTCATTCTGACTTAATATTTACACAAGTGAGTAAAAAAACTTAATTGCTATGTTAGGCTCAGATGCCGGCAAAAAGCTATTATTGGCAACGTTTCAATCCCCTCCACGCTTTTCATCGATATATAGACTTTGTCATAAATGTTTATATTGCTGAAAGTGAATCCCCACAAAACAGGTTTGTGTTAGTAACTTAATTTGATTCCAAATATCTTGGGGATTATATATCATATGAAATTATATAGGTTATACATAGGATTAAAATGAGACAACCTGAAAATATAAATTCATATACTTGAAGAAATCAAAGGAAAATATATCAATATATATGAATATATAATTTCCTATGATTTCTGCAGATTTTGCAATTATTTTTATCATATTTATTGGATTAATATAATTTGTCAATTTGAACCTTTAAGCTACACATTTTCTTTGATCCGAATCTGCAGTCGGGTCGATCTAGACTTCAATACGTATACGTAATATTCATTCAGTTTGAGAGTTAACTTTTATTTTTATTGATTATTAACTTTATCTTATAGCTGATAGGTAATTATTAAAAAATAATAATATTAAGCATACAATTTTTAAATATAGTATTTTTAGATCATTTTTTAACATATATTTTAAATATATTGCTATAAAATTTCTTTAAAATATTTGTTCTTATACAAAACAAATGTGAAAAATATGTTATATTATTAATTTTATATAATTTATCTGGACTTTTATCCCCTCTTGTTAACTTCTATTTATAAAGTCACTTTAACCCCCTTTAACCCCATGAAAACAATAAAAAACCCCCCGACTAGGAAATATTGAATACTTTTTTTGGGATAAATATCCTCTTGAGGGACTTTTATATGTATTGTAAATACCCCCCTTAATGTTTATCCAGTTCCGCCACTGGGTAGTATGCAAAATGATGCCCGTCCATGGCTGCAGGCCAAACTTACCTCATTTTACGTGAATGTCACTGCGAATCGAATATTATTATTTACACCGAAATCAAACGGAGCACGGCCGGCACAGCTTAAAGCCTTGACTAAAAAAATAAACACAGAAACAAAAGAAGCCGGAAAAAAACACGAGATTGAAAAAAAAAATAGACACAGTTACAGTAATAGCAATAACAACAGTGGCACTGAAGGAGAAGAAGAGAAGCGGCTTCTAATTATGTTTCGGCAATGTTCCGTTCGTTTCCTTAGCACCTGATCGACTCGACTGATGCAGCTCCCCAATCGCTTGGCTCCACCTCACCTCCGTTCCGCTTTCGAGAGCTCATTGTTGCCCACTTGGCTTATTTCAGGCTAGATCTAGCAGATTAGAAAAGGCTAAAGCTTATGACATTTGCAACTGGCTTATTTTGGGAATCATTTAGTGTATTCCCAACAATAATTTCATTCGTGGCATCAATGATAATAAATTAATCAATAATAATAAAATAATCAATGATAATAAATTAATAAATTAATTAATAAATTATAATTTTTTTTCTTTCCAAAATAATAATAATAATAATGACAAATGAATTTTTTGAATTTTTTAGAGGATTTAACAATAATGGAATGATTATTAAAAAACGGAATAATGGAGAAGAGGAAATAGAACTGTGATTTTATTAATTATTTATATTTTATTTGTAATATTTGCTTTTATATATATGGCACACAGTAATAAATAATAATAATAATAGTATTAATAATAAAGGCAACACTGATGACAACTAACTGTAGAACCAATCTGCACACGACACGCAGCACGGTGGAGCGCGGTAGAGATAGGCTTGGAGCGGAGAGAGCGCACTGTGGGGCCCAGAGACAGTTTTGTTGGTAAAAAAATTAACATGTGGTGAGAAAAGAAAACTCTGATAAAAGCAGCTGTTAAATGTGCAATAGACTTTCTTTTAAAATATGTTTTAATATTGTTATTCTTTGCTTATGATTATTCTGATATTATATTTCTATATATAAGCTGTTTTTCTCGTTGTTGTTTTAAATCCACAAATGTGTTGATTGAACCCACAGTGCATAGTGGAGCTTCAGAGCGGCTTTAACTTTAACTTTAACTAAACTGGTGTGCGTGGGCACTGTCATTTGAAACAGCTGTTTTTGCTCTCCGAAAGAACGACAGAGAGATAGAGACAGAAATTCACTGAACAACATTTTATTTATTTATTTTTTTTTTTAAAAGCAATACCTAGGCCGGTCAGAATTATTAAAGATAACAAAAAAGGAAATTAATTTCGCTAAGCCAAAGATTGTATACCCTTGCAGTTTGCTATTAAATTAAAGGATCAAATCGGAAATCGATCCTAACTAAGCTTAAAATGTTTGCATTCTTTGAATCTATATTTATCTATAAATTTATATGAACTTTTTTTGACAAATTAAAGTTTACAAAATTTATAACTAAACCAAAACAGGATTAATCATAATTTTTATCAGGTTAATAAATTTGCATATTTAATTTAAAATATTAGAAAATTAAAAATTATATTAAACTTTTTACAATTTTAACGATAAAATATAATTTATGTATATTTATATATTTATATTATATTTTGGAAAATTTTTCAAATATTTTCTGCCTTAAATGGCTAGATTGACTCGGCTGATCAATTATATATATGTATTTGAAATATAGCGTCAAATAGCGTTACAGGCTTCTGACTAAAATTATAATACCCAGCAAGGGTATTAAAAATATCAAAAGCTTACGATAATTAAAAAGATAAGTTTATGCATAAAGCCTTGTGTAAATAATATAATATGTGTAATTTCAAGTTAAGTAATTTTAATACACTGCAGTAATCCTACGTTATTGATTTTTATAAAATTAAAACTAAAATTCTAAAATAATATAAAATGCTTACTTCTTAGAGTACCATTTAAAAACCCTTTAAAGGGACAAAAATTGAGTATATAAATTATTGATTAAATGAAAATAAACTAAAAAATTCTGATAGTTTTCAAGAAGCTAACCATTACGATATCTAAAAAGATAAGTTTATGCTTAAGTCTTGTGTAAATAATATAATATTTGTAATTTCAAGTTAAGAAATTTTAATACACTGCAGTAATCCCACTCTATTGATTTTGATAAAATTAAAACCTGAGTTCTGAAACAGAATAATATAAATAATAGACTATATAAAATAATTCTGAAATGAAAGCCAACTAAGAAATGCTAATAGTTTTTAATAACCAATACTGACTTGCACCATTTGTGGCGCAATTGAATTTTTATTGAAATTGAATGTGACTGTTCAACACCTTATGCTTTTTTGAGTCCTAAAAGTCATTGATATTTTCATAAAACAAATGGGTTTTTGTAAGTGTTTCCCATTTTGGTATTTGGGAAGCAAACATTGATCTAAAACAGGGCCTGAAGCTAGCGCCAACGTTCGTGCTGCACCGAAGACCGCATTATGGTTTTGGCCATATCCGGTGATTGCTGGATGAGCGTGTGCTGTGTGGGGTTGCTCTGATGGCGTGGATGCGAGGGGTGACTGTGATGGCTATGATGACCATGACCACCTCGCGGGAAACTGGGCAGTGGGGCCTTCTTCTCGTGGGCCAGCTCCGTGTAGGCCAACTTGCGGCGCTGCTGCGGTGGTATCTTCTTGCAGTGGGCCAGCTGATGGATGTGGAGAGTGCGAACGAGGTCAAACTTGCGGTCACAATACTTGCACTGATTGGTGGTATCCAATGTGGTGTTGCTACCTTGCTTGGGACAGCGATTGCAGAAGCGCACCTTGAAGTCTTCGTCATGGGTGCGACGATGGGCGCCCAGCAGGGAGCGGACGTGGAATCTGGCCCCACATTCACTGCACTTATAACGCGGCACAACACCCAGCTGCCCCAAGGTACTCAATGACGGCAAATGCCCAAAGTCATCGGCATCTCCGGCACCGACATGCTCCAGCATACGGTCGACCTGCTTGGAGTTCAATCCTCCGGCGACATTGCGTCGTGCCGTGGCCATTAAGGCATTCAGTTCGGCCTCTGCGGCAAAATCACGGGGTGTAAGCCCATTCCGGCGAGGGGACTCCAGGAGAACTGTGAGGAAATTGGTGGGATTTTATTAATAAATTATTAAAATTTTTAATATTCATCGAGAAAAATATATACATCTTTGGGCAAAGGGATATAAACCTTGAAAGCTCACCGATCTCAGAAAAATTAGTTTTTTTAACTTAAGCCAAACCACCTTTCCCTTGATTTTCGTTTTAAATATGAGGCTTTCAATATGGAATTCTTTCAAACTATCTTTTCTAAACCTCTTACTTTCCAATAAACATATAATTATATACATATATCTCCCCTATAATCTTGTAAAACCCGAAAACTTACCATTATAACCTCCACGATTACGGCTCTCAACTTTGTTTAGTTTCTCATGATTCGATGACTCCTCCGACACCTTTCTTTTAGGTTTGGTGGTCTCCTGCTTCTTGCCTTGCTTGCGCCGGTGGCCACCGCCTGCTCCACCGCCTGCTCCTCCTCCGCCGCCTCCGCCTCCACCTCCGACGACGGTGCCTGCTCCAGTTCCCTTTGTGCCGCCACGCTTGACAGGACGAGGCGGCACTATGGCCTGATTGGTTGTCGAAAGACTTATCAATTTATGCTCGACGGCTTTGCGGGACATCTCCATTTCGGCCTCCACAAGATTTTTACGGGCTTTCGCATTTGTGTGCCGTGGTGTGTGGTGTACTCCAGTTGTGTGTGCGGGGTGTCGCTGCTTACCCCGCTTTTGCTTTGTTGAATTCTTTTGTGTCTTATTCGTCGCATTTGTGTATGTTCCAGGGGTACAATTCGGTCGAACATTTTGAAAGTATTTACTAGACGAACGAGGTGAATGTGAACAATGTGAAGAATTTGAACGATTGAAAGGTAATGCGGTGAAAGAAGTAAACATCATGGCCTGCTAAGTGCCTGAAATAATTCAAATTTAAATTTGAAATTGTGGCAGGGCTAAGCATTTCGATTGTTAGTAAAGTTCCACACCTGTTGATCGATAGGGCTATCGATGGGTTACTACATGGACGCTGCCAGATGTCGATAGCAAAATCGTTAAAGACATTTATTTTCATCAATTAGCTGATAGCCAGTCCTAGAAGTAAAAAAAAAAAAACATTTAATAAACTTCACAAAAACTCTGTATACAAATCAGTTTTGCCACGTTCTTCAGCAGCCAATTTGACGTTTCTTATCAAGGACTTCAACCTTTTTATTACAGTTTATTATTCTAATCATACAACAACATTCGATGTCTATTGCCAATACATTGTTAAAATGTCTTATAAAAATGATAAAAGTAGTGTTTCGCCAAAAATACGTTAACGAAGACCGAATCAAAGTATATTTCAAAACGAAAGTTGACCAAAAATCATTTATTTCGATTGAAAAATATCGATACATTGATATTTTGATACATTTCGCACATCGCTAGCCAGCTCCACCGACCACCGCGTGCAGTTTTTTGTGGCAGCAAAAAAAAGCAGCTGAGGCTGGGAAAAACGCAGCTAAATCACAGAAAGCTCATAAATCGAATCGAATTGAATAGCCGCGCGTCTATCTGCCGCCGCTTGCTAGGATTGTCATCAGCTTGTTGTGATTTTTTGCGGCACCGAATACGGAATATGAGTGATACGCGAGAGCAAATCCTGGACCAAATCAAAGTGCAAGGCGATCTCGTCCGTCAACTGAAGGCAGCGAAGGAGTCCAAGGAGAAGGTCAGTGCTCCATGTCCATGTCCATGTCCTGCACCCGCACACACACGCACACTGTCCTCCCTCACCTCCCGGAGTAGCACTCTTCCCTCCCTTCCCCCTTGCGCATAGTGTCGCCAGGCATTGTGTGTGTACACGAACAAGTGCAATTGTTGCTGTAATTGCTTGCCCTGCTTTCATAATCATCCTCGTCACAGAACTCCATCGAAGACCCCCAATCGAATCCCCGGGCCCAGCCATGGTCCATGACACATAGCAGCAGTGGCATTTCATCATCAGACACACATGCTGCGTTGGCATTGCCATTTCCATTTACCATTTATTGAATTTCGCAGTAATTAGATTGAATGCAACAAAACAGAGAGCCACGAAAAAAACACACACAAAAAACTGAAGGAAAAAGAGCGCGCGCTCTACAAACTTTCACATTCGTGCCACTCTGTTGTTGTTGGTGTCTCGCTCTCGCCCCTATTACAATGCCACTCAAAATTGCATAGCTCCCGCTCACCAGTGCTGGCGCAGCTTTAGCGGGTATCTAGCCAGATTCTGTGACAAGTTTTATATAATATTCTGGAATCTTCTAATCAGAATTAAATTATTAACGACATGGCATTCCTATTTATGAAGATTTTAAGAAGGTATTAAACCTTCAAATTGTTTAAATACTTTCTTATTTTATATGCATCCGTTGGAAATGAAATTTTTTTCCCGCTAAGAAAGCTGCCAGCACTGTGGTCCACAGCTTCAGTTCATTGTTGGTAGAGTGCATGCGTGTGTGTTTGTGTGTTCTATGACCGACTGACTGACTGACAGAGAGCGAGATAAAGACAAGGAGAGACAGAGAGACCGACTGGTCAAGCAGGAGGCATGAGCATGGAACAAAAAGGCACATGGTGGTTATAGCGATTATATCAAACCTGCTAGACAACATTATCCAACTGCAACATATGATTTTTTTAGCTAATAAGAAATGCGAGAAACCCGTTACTAAATGTCAAGTTTGTGTGCGTTTGTGTATGTGTGTGTGGTTGTGCAAATGTGCAGTTATTATGGCCGCCGCGATCAGCTGTTGACCCGATGCTGTCGCCCTCTAGCGGTGTGCAATCGGTTCAGAGAACCCTTTCAGCGCCGTGTGTATGTATGGGAATGTCCTTGAACCCGCTGTTGGGTAAAAGATTCCATTAATTCGCGTCACTTTCTTGATTTTTTTTCCGTTTCCCTGTTTCCAAGTGTGTTCAAGTGCTAACAAAAAAAAAGTGTAATTCTAATCGAAAAACTTGTTTCGAATCGAAATGAAGAAAAAAAAAGTAATCAGTGCTGACGGTCAATGGAACGCAATAATTGTATTGTTATTTTTGTTATTTACACCTGCACACACACACACACACCCATAACACTAACACACACATTGGTTTTGGCACATACCTTCATTTCGTCACTCACACTAATTATTTTTGAAACTTAACTTCGTTATAAACACGAACTAGTTTAAAATAAGTAAAACCATGAAAAGAAAAGAGCAGACTTTAATCGGTTTTTATTATTGTTGTTGTTGTTTAATTAGGTTTGAAAAGTTGCCTAAAGAAAGTTGTTGCTAATTAAAGCATTCAAAAGAAAAAGAAAATATTACAAATTTAAGAAAAATCAAGAAAAAACAAAACATATGTTGCGTTCAATTGGCCGCCAGTGGCGCTGTAGTGCTGCGTTTCAGTGTGCAACGTTCCAGACGGCGCCCTCTGGCGGCGGGCGCGCCAGCTCCGCCGGCGTTCCAGCCTTGGAACAACAAAAACAACATCAGAAACAACAACCAGAACAACAACAACAAGAACAAGAGCAACTGCATCAGGTTAGCATCTAAGCATATCCCCCCACCCCTCAGAACTACCCCCCTTCCCCTTCCGCTTGAGAATTCACTCTAATCGGTGTCCTCTTCCTTGTTGCAGATCGATGAGGAAGTCGCTCGCCTGCTGGCCCTCAAGGCCAAGCTGGGTGGCGATGCTCCGCCCACGAACCAGAAGTTCACACTGAAGACGCCCAAAGGCACAAGGGACTATGGCCCGCAGCAGATGACACTGCGTCAAGGTGTCCTGGACAAGATTGTGCAGGTGTTTAAGCGTCACGGCGGCGAGGCGATCGACACGCCCGTTTTCGAGCTGAAGGTGAGTTTTGGCCAAAGGGATGTCCTCTTGAGAAGTGAGAAGAAGAGAGAGGAAGAGAGAAAAAGAGATAGAGAACATGGTTTAAGTCAAAACAGGGATGCCCACTAAGGACGCCCGGTCCTTTCTTATGTTATCTTTTAAAACCCTTTATAATCTATTGCAAAACATAGAAAACCTTTTGGGTTCTATCAATATTAAGGTATCATGAGTTTTTTATCAGTATCAACAACCGATTCGATTTAGCCACATCTTGTATTATCGTGTCCGTTGTAGTACCTCCGTTTAGGAACTTTTTCGATGTAGCTATCCTTTAAAATAATAGAAATAAAGATATGCCATTTAGTAAATTCGAAAATATTTTAAATTAGTGTTATAACATAAATATAGTTAATAGATAGGCATAAATCTTTTAATCTTCATCAAAAAGTTTCTCCAGCTCTATTTAGAGTACCTTAATTTCTATTTCGAAACCTGAAATTTGTACCAAAATAACAATAAACACATTACAGCACAGGAAAGACCACCTGTAGCGCACTTGATGTTCTCAAATAAGACCAAAATATTTAAGATAGACTTCACTATATGAATAATATTTCCCATATGTGGCCTTTATTTATATATTTTAATAATGCTGTTTTTTTTTTTTTTGAAAAGTATTTATAAAACCCTCAAAAGCTGAATTTAACTGATAAAGAAGCAACAAGACCTTGAATATTATCTTATATACCCTCCAATAATCCCACTTGATTTGCGTAATCAGTGTTTTTGGACATAAATAGAAATAATACAATTAATCCAATTATGGCTTCTTAAAAAAGTAAATGATCATATAATGAGTAAATATATAGATTGGAAAGTATAATGCTCAGATTTATCCTATCAAAAATATTTTTATCTTAAATATATCGTTTTCTTAAGAACTCATTTGTTTTGGTTAGATATATAAAATAGAATATCGATGTATCGTTCTTTTGAGGCAACGTTAAATATTATAAATATCCTTACCTTTCAAGATAGACCTTTTAAAAGAATTTATTTGTTTTCATTCGATTAAGATATTTTAAAGAGAACATCAATTTATTGCCCCTGTATAGGAACATTAAAATATGTATATAATATAGACTTTCTCTGAAAATATTGTTACCATATCAATTGTTTCATTATCATTAACCCAATCACTCCTTTCCCTTACAGGAAGTGCTAACCGGCAAGTATGGCGAAGACTCCAAGCTGATCTACGACCTAAAGGACCAGGGCGGTGAGATCCTATCGATGAGGTATGACTTGACCGTGCCGCTGGCCCGGTATCTGGCGATGAACAAGATCTCAAGCATCAAGCGATATCACATCGCCAAGGTATATCGCCGCGACAATCCGGCAATGACCAAGGGACGGTATAGGGAGTTCTATCAATGCGATTTCGATATTGCCGGCATCTACGATCCCATGCTGGCGGATGCCGAGTGCGTCAAGATTGTGGCAGAGATTCTCGACACTCTGGACATTGGAGACTATGTGATAAAGCTTAATCACCGCCAGCTGCTGGATGGCATGTTCCAGGCATGTGGAGTGCCGGCGGATAGTTTCCGCACCATCTGCTCGGCAGTGGATAAGTTGGACAAGGTGGGTTTTACACTTGAGAAGTAGCTTCATGTATTTGTGCTAACTGTGAGGTGTCTTCTTATTTTTAGTCGCCCTGGGCGGACGTTCGGAAGGAGATGGTGGAGGAGAAGGGCCTGGATGAGGCTGCAGCGGATCGCATTGGCGAGTACGTGCGACTGAGCGGCGGTGCCGAGCTGGTGGAGCAGCTGCTGGCCGATGCCCAGCTTAAGGCTGTGCCCAATGCCGTGAAGGGTCTGGAGGGCATGCAGCTGCTCCTCAAGTACTGCTCACTCTTTGGCCTGGACAAGCGTGTTCGGTTCGATTTGAGTTTGGCCCGTGGCCTGGACTACTATACCGGTGTTATCTACGAGGGTGTGCTCCTGGGAGAGTCCGCTGCCGTGGGATCACCTGTGAAGACGTCACAA